ACTGGGCCTTCACTTTCTCTCCAGGGAGGTGCAGGATGCCCTGATGGATCAGTTCAAGGAGAGGACAAGAACAGGGAATGTCACCAGGGCAGGGGCTGGATTTACTGTCTGTTGAACCCACACACAAGTCACACCTTCCCATCTGTAAGTAGGAGTACCTAGGCCAGGGGCCTGGCTGGGATCTCTAGTCACATCCTTCCTCTTTCCTAAAGCCTGACAGAACATCACTGCCACCAAAACCTAGTGGCTTCTGGAAGCAGAGCCTGTGTTAGCTGAACTGAGGAACTGTGGAACCAACAGGTGGTCCAGCCCTGCAGAAGACTCCAGCACCCACAGTCCATCCCTGGGGAGAAGGCAGCACAGCTCACCGGGAAGGAGTTCACCAGGTTCCAGCTGAGCTTCTGCGTGAGGAATCGCTGGATCCCACAGCCACGCATCAGCTGGGGCAGCTGGGCTGAGTACCCAAATGTGTCCGGCAGCCAGAACTGGGAGCACGGGAGCAGAGGGAGAGGGACACACACAAGTCACCCAACCTCGAAGAGTGTGGGGGGGAAGGAGATGGTGGGCAAGAAAGGCGTGATGGAAAAGAACAAGCACCTCCGAGCAGATCCGGCCAAACTGCTCCTGGAAGAACCTCTGTCCATGGAGAAACTGCCGCACCATGGACTCCCCACTGGGCAGGTTCCCATCCTGGGGGGAAGACACAGGGAGTCCATGAGGAAAGCCAGGAACCAGGGAAGGAGAGATCTCGTAAAACCTCCATTCCCACCCACCTGGCCTGGCAGATTGTGGGGAGAACCTCGTCAGGGCTCGGCACAGGGGGAAAGGAGGAACACACTAGGGAGTCCAAAGCTCCTTTCTCAGGGAACAATTTGGGAGGATTGTACTTGTGCTAGGCTGGGCACTTCAGACAGCTGCTGTTCCTGGAGACCACTGCCCACCAGAAGGCTCAGCAAAGGCCCCGTTCTCCCCTGAATGTCAGGCCTGGTCCCAGAGGATGGCACAAGGAGCGTGTGGCAAGCCAGGCTCACCATGCTACTCACCATTTCCACCCAGGTGCCTCCAACAGGAATGAACTGTCCCTTGGCCACGAAGTCCTGAATGCGTGCATAGAGCCCGGGGTAGCAGCTCCGCACCCACTCGAACTGCTGGGCCTGCCAGAGCACAGGGATCAGCCCCAGCTCCCCCCACACCCCCTCCCTTCTCTCTGCAACACTTCTGCTTCGTTACATCCCCCCACCTCCTTTAGCTGGAGAAGCAACATGCCACGAGCTGAGGAGAGGTGTCCAGAGGGAGATCACTCACCTGGGAGCAGGCAAAGGTCAGCTCTGGATTGTGCTCCATCAGATGGACCACGGTGACCCAGCTCCGGGCGCACTTACGGATGGTCTCCTCATACGGCCACAGCCAGGCTGCAGGGACAGGCATGGCCCCACCATGGTTATTACCTAACACAAGCCCCTCACGGAGCTGGAACCTCTCTGAAACCCCTCCTGGGATGGGAAATCGAGGGCTGAAGCCCAACAGGTGGAAGACAGCAGACTGTAATTCACCCCTCATCCCCAGTCCCATCAGTGCTCCAAAGGGCACAGCTAGCCAGACCCACACTCCCACACTGCCCCAGTGACACACCAGCAATGGGGCAGCACAGAGGCCCATTCCCTTCTCTCAAGGCATGGCATCCTGTGCCTGGAGCCCAAGGGCAGCCTGTTCTCCTGTTGGGCAGCACACTCTGGCCTCCAGGTGAGAGGAGAGGAGCGCTGTGCTGCTCTCACCAGAGTCAATGTGGCAGTGTCCCATGGCATGGATGGTGTGCTGGCTCTCGCCGTTCCTCTGGCTGAAGATGGCTGCAGCCAGGCCACGTGCAGCGGGGAAGGTGGAGGGGTCCGTAACATCACACACGTTGACCATCTGGTTGGCAGTGTACAGTGCCTGGAAACTCCTCTGGTTTTCCTCCCCGAGGAGCTGGGGTTGAGAGGGATAAAAATAAGACTCTGGCCACTGTATGAGCTCAGATGTCACCTGCCTCCAGGAGAACCTGCTACCTCCTTTCAACATCTATCTCAGGCAGTCATAACAGGTAAACACCATGTCCCTGCTTCACAAACACAGCCTTTTGCCTTTTCTCACATGCCCTCCAAATCCCATATGCCCATTCCAGGGACTGTGATTAATATATCCTGCTTTGGAGCAGGAAGAGGCTGAAAAAACACTTGTGGCTTCTCTCAATTCAGTTTTCTCCTACTCTAGAACATCCTGAGTTGGAAAACACCCATGAGGATCATCAAGCCCAGACAGTGTCAATTGTGCTAAAGCAGAAGCAGCAAACATTTTCTCCTCTAAGGTCTCGGGTCACAGAACAGCAGGAGGAGGAGATGCAATGGAGCGGAGGAAAAGGTGAAAGAAGGGAAGAGGAGCTCTCAGACCTGAGCCATGTCCAGCAGTATTTCCATATCCACCAGCAGTTCATAGACATCTCTGTTGAAGACAACCAGCTCAGCCTTGCTCAGGGTAACCCTCCTGTCGGGGTCTGGAGGGGCGATCATGCTGCCCTTGCCAGCTCCAAAGAGCCCATTGCAGGCCAGCTCCACGTACAGTGTCAGGCTGTGGGGACAAGAGGAAACCATCAGGGAGCAGGTCACAAGCACCAGGACACAGATAAGGATGTGTGTGTCCTCAGCCTCTTGGCTTCCAACAACACCAAGGTCCCCCAGCAGTGGGGGGCTCTGCTTGCCTGACCACCCACCTGTGGGGCTCTGATTCTTTCAGGCTTCTTGTCAGGATGTAGCTGGTCTTCTCACCTTCCTTAGTCAATCCCTGCACAGGAAGATGGCACATTCAGCATGTCAGCAGAGGTCCATGACAGCAGGCTGGATGGGCAGGATAAGATACCCCAAAGTCCATCTGGACAGAGGGGCTGGTGCCACATGCTGTGGGATAATTTTTGTCACAAGAATAGGAACAGAGCCCTGCATGCACCACCACAGAACATGGCAGGGGCTCCAAAGGTCACCACAGTGAACATAGCAGAGCAGCTGGCACAGCCTTGATCCGTGGCTCCATACCTGGACAGGCTGGGCATCTCGCCACACCATGCCCTCCCCATCACTCTCCCAGACGAAGTGCACTTCCCGCCCTGCCCATGCCGGGGGGATGCTCAGCTCCACCTTAAACCAGCAGGTCTCCCACCTGGAAGAGAGCAAGCAGCAACCTCAGCCCACTGTGTGACCTTCTCCCGAGGGAAAGCACACTTCCCCAGAGCCCTCCATGGAAAAACCAGAGTGGGGACAGCCCACGAGTTTGATGGGATTCACACACAAGGATGCTGCCTGGCCATACACACCTGATTTAACCTGTGCCCTTCTGGAACCCCAGAGAGACTGTCAGTGACATCTTATCTGACCACTGCTGGGATAAGAATCTTCTCCCAAACTTGACAAGCAAACACATCTCCCCCAGAAGCATCAGAGACGCAACCATAGTCACAAGGAGCTCTCAGGAGAAATGAGCAAGAGACTTGTCTGTTCGCTCATGAAACCTCCCTGAGGGCTCCTGAGCAGCCACCTCCAAGCACTCAATGAGGAAGAAGATCAGCAGCTTGTGTGTCCACCAGGGAGAGCTTGTGAGGATTCCCACACACAAATAACTGAGACAGAAGCTCCAACCCCACCAGGGGCACAGCACCACCGAGACCCGCTACTCACGTGGGCCCGAAAGACCCTCCCACTTGAGCCGGCCCGAATTCCTGCACGACAGCCTCCTCGTACGGGATGCGCCGCGGAGTCTGGAAGTAGGACAGCGATGCGGGTGGACAGCGGTCCCCGAAAAGCCTGTGGTTGGAGATGGGCAGGACACATGAACAAGATCAGTCCCACGCGGACTGACCCAGCGGTGGTAGGAGAGCTTTCAGAGCACGGCTGGATCGCCCAGCCACCACCCAACACCCTCAATAATGTCAGCAGAGTAATAAAGGCCCTGTTGGCCACGGGTGGCCAGGGGAGGGCTGGAGGGCTGAGGGGCCCGCGGAGGTCAGCGCACTATGCTGAGTGAGGAAGGAGTGTGTGTGTGTCAGTGTGTATGTGTGTGTGTCAGTGTGTGTATGTGTGTGTGTGTGCATGTGTGTGTGCGTGTGTGTCAGTGTGTGTGTGCGTGTGTGTGTCAGTGTGTGTGTGCGTGCGTATGTGTGTGTGTCAGTGTGTGTGTGTGTTTGTGTGTGCGTGTGTCAGAGCGCGTGTGTGTCTGTGTCTGTGTTTCTGTGTGGGAGTGCGTGTGTGTGTCAGTATGTGCGTGTGTGTTTGTGTGTGTGTGTGTGTGTGCGTGTGTCAGAGCGTGTGTGTGTGTGTGTGTGTGTGTTTGAGATTTATCCCCTCAGCGAGAGCCCGCTGAGTCCCCGAGCCCCGCACCCACAGCCGCCAGCGCCCCGGGGCAGCGTCCCCACGCCGAGGGGACACACCGGAGCTTGTCCCGGTGTCCCGGAGAGTCCCCCCGCCGCCCACCTGCCCCGCAGGTTGCAGTCGGTGAAATAGGTGTCGGAGAGGAACTTCTCCACTCGCTCCAGGGCCGTCCGCCGGTTCTTGATCGCGGCCATGGCAGCGGCCGAGCCCCCGCCCCGCCCCGCGCGGCGCAGGCGCCGCCGAGCCCCGGAGCCCTCCTGAGGCCCGCCCGGAGCCCGCCCGGAGCCCGCCCGGGGCCCTCCCGGGGCCCGCCCGGAGCCCTCCCGGGGCCCGCCCGGGGCCCTCCCGGAGCCCGCCCTGGAGCCCGCCCGGAGCCCTCCCGGGGCCCGCCCGGGGCCCGCCCGGAGCTCTCCCGGAGCCCGCCCGGAGCCCTCCCGGGGCCCGCCCGGGGCCCGCCCGGAGCTCTCCCGGAGCCCGCCCTGGAGCCCGCCCTGGAGCCCGCCCGGAGCCCTCCCGGAGCCCTCCCGGGGCCCTCACGGAGCCCTCCCGGAGCCCTCCCGGAGCCCGCCCCGGAGCCCGCCCGGAGCCCTCCCGGGGCCATCCCGGGGCTCTTCCGGGGCCCGCCCGGCCCTCTGCGGCTCGGAGCGGCCCCGGGGATCGCCCTGCTGTCGCCTCCATCTCTCCTCCTCGCAGACTCCGCGGCGCATCCCGTACGAGGAGGCTGTCGTGCAGGAATTCGGGCCGGCTCAAGTGGGAGAGTCTGTCGGGCCCACGTGAGTAGCGGGTCTCGGTGGTGCTGTGCCCATGGTGGGGTTGGAGCTCCTGTCTCAGGGTTATTTGTGCGGGGGAATCCTCACAAGCTCTCCCTGGTGGACACACAAGCTGATGATCTTCTTCCTCATTGAGTGCTTGGAGGTGGCTGCTCAGGAGCCCTAATTTTCATGAGTGAACAGACAAGTCTCTTGCTCGTTTCTGCTGAGAGCTCCTTGCGACCATGGTTGTGTCTCTGCTGCTTCTGGGGGGATGTGTTTGCTTGTCAAATCTGGGAGAAGATTCTTATCCCACCCTGAGCGCTCCCTAGGTGAGAAGGCAGAACCCCCCTCATCACTGTTCCTCAGCCTAAGCAATCCTCCATCTTCCTCTCCATGTCCTGGTTTGCCTCCAAATCACCCCAAACTGACATTATCACCAGGGGGTAAGGAAGAATTTGTACACGATGCTCAGCCCTGATGTTTTAATGGAAATACTGTGCTACAGTCAAGTTTACAACATTGGTATAGAAATCACATGGGTTGTGGGCCGAGGATCACGTTACAGAATACAAAAAGCAAGATCAAATAAAAAGAAAATTAGAAAAAAGCAAACCTCTGCTATTGTACAGGCTGGGAGCAGAGCTGGGATGTCAGATGGAGCACCAGAGGCAGAGATGTCCCCACGGTGTGTCCCAGACACCTGCACCAGCCCCCCTTGACTCAGTGACATGCAGGCACAGGACCCCCAACCAAGCAGCAGCAGCTGGTACTTCCAAGCTGGCCAAAAGGCTAAATCACCAAAGGCTTTCCCTTACATCACCTTGAGCATACACCAGAATAAAAAAAGGGGAGAAAGAATCGGGGAGAGTGCATGACACCGTTGGAATGGAAGAGGATAAGGAGATCCCCTTCCTGCCTGGTTACAGCAAAGGAGGAGAAACAGGTGATTTATTGCTAGCAAAGAGTGAAAATCCCCTCCTGGGCTCTTCCTTCTCTCCCTCTTCACCATAGGAGGCTCCCGTTCCAGACCTGCGGGCTGTGCATTGGCTGCCAATGACTCGTGGCCCCTGGGGCTGTGACTCCCACCCCGGCTCCAGGTCCCCCCTGCAGCCCTGCGCCCCGGCCTCTCTCCACAGCAGGGAAGGAGCTGTGGTGACAGGAGGAGAGAATCTGGAACTAGGTGATATTTAAGGTCCCTTCCAGCCCAGGCCCTTCTGTGGTTCTGTGAACCTGCTGTCCCAGAACACAGTGAGTCCCTGGAGGGGCTGAAGCCATAGCAGAGCCCTGCTCGTGGCTCCCTATTCAGGGGTGTAGGACTAGCAGCACGGATTTTTGCTAGGAAAGCCACCTCTTTTTGAGGAGACATGGTGCAGTGGCTTACAAATCAGTGCTGACTTCTTTATTTTTAAATTCAGAATCTTCCCCCACATTTTAAATATCTGCCAGTGTTAAATTTCTCTACTTAAAAAAATATATATCCCATATGTGAATTTCTGGAGTGAAATGCACCAAGACCCCCCCCCCCCCACCCCCAGTCCCTCCTCCTTCTCTTGCCCACACACACACACACATACACACAGACAGAGCAGCTCTGTCAATACTGGCTTGGTATTTCCCATGATGTTTTCTCCAACACAGAAAGGGAAAAATACATCAGCACAATCAGCCCCAGCTGAGTTGCTCAGCAACACTTCCCAAAAGCGAAGATCCTTGGAGCTGGAAGACAAGGTGGATAAAAATTACCCACCAGGAAAAAAGCCAAACATTTTAAAAAATTAAAATTATATACTCTATATTTATATTTCTTTCAGGCTGCTTATACCTCCGTTGTTTAACCCCCAAACTCACACGCTGCCTCTGCTGTTTCCTCTTGCCAGCTGTAGAAAAGGGGTTGGGATCACACCTCCCTCTTCCCTCCCCTCTCCCACCCCAAAACCTGCATGCTGCAACAGTGCCTTTCAGACCAGGAACACAGCTGTGGGTGAGCGAGTGTCTTCCTCCAGTTAAGAACAAAGACATTATTTTTTTTATTTACAAAAAAAGGAGAAAAAAGTTTCCACACAAAAGCACTACAATGATAACTCCCTTTGGTAAAAAGTGTAATAAATGTCTCCATCGGTCTGTCTGTCGGTACTAATTCTCAAGCCACCTGGTACTATGGTACACAAGAAGCTAGTACAGTTATGCTAGCACATCAAGCATAATTCCTTTAATTAAAAAAAAAACCCAAAAAGGAAAAAAACAAAAAAAATTGACAATTTGTACATTTATTTACAAAAAAGGAGGGGAACATGTTAAAATCGTGTTGTTCTCTGCTGTGTGTGTGTACGTACATGTGTGTGAAAAGCTGGTGCATGGCACTAGGAGAGACTAGTAAACAAGCAGGTACAAAACAACAAAAAAAAAAAAAAACCAAAAACCCAAAATAAAAATAAAACAGTTCCACTGGCACTAGAAAGGACAGACCGATCTGCACAGGGTGAGTCCAGCCTGGGAGGGAAGGGAGGAAGCAGAGGAAGCCGGGGCCCGCTGCCCCACGGCCGCACGCCGGAGCCCGCCAGGAGAGGAGAATCCGGTGGCGACAGCACCTGCGGATTTTGGGGACACATCCCAGCGGGCCGGCGGTGGAGAGCATCCTGTTCCCCTCCCTCGCCGCTCAGGGCCTCCGGGGAGTCAAAGCCTCAACGCTGCTGGTGTGTACGAGCTCGTGGTGTTTCTCTGGGATGGCTCAGTTCAGAGAAGGGTCCTTCCTGCTCGGAAAGGGCCGGCAGCCCACGGCCCCGCGCGGAGAGCCGCATCCCCACGGGGAATCCCGCCGGGACAGGCTGTACCAGCCACGCACTAGTCAAGTGGCCATGTTAGGAGATACACAGTGAGGGGAGAAAGGCATCTCCCTCCTTCCCTGGATGCGCGCACACACACACATCTCCCGGGCTCTTCCCTCGCCCCGGGGGACTCCTAGGGTGTCTTGAATATCGTGCCGTATTTGACGCGGTACTTGTTGATGCTGACAAAGTGCAGGGTCTCTGTGTCACAGGTGGTGGTGCAGGGCACCAAGCCCTCCAAGCCTTCACCCATGAGCCACTTGTTTGTCTCGGCTGCCATTTCGCGGGGCACGTGCTCCTTGGTCCATTTGTCCACCCAGGCCTGGAACCGCTGGTGCAGCCGCTTGCTCACCCTTTCGTGGGACTGCAGAAACAGGGAGAGGCGTTAGGAAAAGGCAGCTTTGACACCCAAACTGCAGCATAACACCAAGCTTGGCTACTGGTTGAGACAGGCAAGGGGATCAAACACACAGGCAATTTGTAATGCAGGCACTGGACTAATGACAGAGGGAACGCTCTGATGAGGGTCCCCCCGGGGCTCCTCTCCAAGCAAAAATATGGCAAAATGAGCTCAGAAATATAAAAAAGTTTATGCTCTTTGTTTAACACAGCAGTTCACGGGCTGGGGACACAGAAGATGTCCAGCAGGAGCCTGAAAGCTGCATGCCCAGCTCAGAGTGAGTCCCTTCTGCATTGCCCAGAAGATGCTGCCGTCTCCTCTGCTACCACCCACGACCAGGCAAGTCCTGCTCTTCCCAGCCCTCAGGGTCTGTCCCAGCCCCCCAGAGAGGGGCTTAGTCTCAGGAAAGAGCAAGTTCAACGTGCATTACATATACTGGGGACACAATTGCTACAGAAAATTAAGATCCAGATCAGGTCCAACAGGCTCAAGAAGCCCTGACTTAACAGAAGGATCAGGAAAGGAAGAGCTGTGCACTTTTTTGGGGCCTAAGGAATGTAAAATGGAGGACATACGGTATAAAGCCATGGCTACAGTCATAACTGAAAACAGCCAATATAATTAAACCTCCAGATTAAAACTTACAGATTTTATTGTTTGTTTGCTCTTCTCCCAAAGCCTGACTGGTTTGGGGTATTAACTGCTAAATCCGATAGATTTGTTTTCCAAAATCCAATGTAGCTTCTACAGCTCCCTCAGTGTATTCCAGTAACCAAGAGCTAAGCTGCACACTACATATTTAACACTTCAAGAATTGATACTCGGATTCTCTGTGAAGAGCAGTTACACACAGTATCCTGCTTATAAGCTTACATTTCCTTGAGGTTTGTGCCAGTTGAATGAGATAGACTGAATTCAATCAGAATCCTCAGTAGCAGCATTTCAAAGAGTCACTATGCTGCAATAAAATGCTCTCATCTGATGTGGATGCAAAGTTTTAGAGAATTACTTTACATCTGATGAACTAAAGCCACTACCTGTACCTCATCAGGAAGAAACATGGTAAGTAGTTGTTTTAGAAACATAAATACACTATAGAAGTGGATGGAAATATTTCCGTAAGATGAGATAATGAGAGTGTCAAAGCATCCAAATGGCCAGATCAGTTTCCTCCAGTGCAATCCTCCTAAACTTCACCCATCTAGAGTCACAAGCTCTTTTCATCTTGGATAAACCCAAACCTTTACAGCTTCCCAAACAGCTGGAAGGGCAACACCTCCTTCCTTCCCCTGGGTCCCAGGAAACACCAGCAACCCACCCCATTCTCTGGCTGGCTCCTACCTGCTGAGCTCGCAGCAGCGCGGTCCTCCTGTACATGTAATCCTCTGATTTGATCACGTACACCATCTTGTATGAGTTCAGCTTGAATTTACACTCCATCTTGTCCAGGCTCTCCAAGTTCTCCATGGACTTCTTACTGTTCCCCTCCTTCCCTTCCTTCTCCTGCTGCTCCCGACCACGCTGACACTTGCGGATCCGCCTCAGATTCCTGCAAACCAGAGAATCCCCCTTGGAATTAGCACCCGCTGCTGGCACTGCACAGCTGGGTGTAGCTCAGCTTAGGTGGTGGATCTCAAGGCCAGGTTGGACAGGGCTTGGAACAACCTGGTCTAGTGGGAGGTGTGTCTGCACACAGCAGGGGATGGAATGAGATGAGCTTTAAGGGCCTTTCCCAGCACAGCCTGGCCACTCACCTGGGCAGGAAGACGGGTTTCTGGGCCAGGTGCTCGCGGAGCTCAGGGGAGGTAGAATCAGAGTTGATGTACCGCTCCACGTAGTCAGACCAGCGCTGGAAGCAAGCACAGAGTGCACATCAGCCACTGCCCTCCTACCAAACAACGGGTGAGGGCTGAGGAGGTTAAGCTGGAAGTCATGCAGAAGAGCACAACATCCCTTCTGAAGGCTCTATGCACCTTATGCCCAAAAAGGCAGCTACAACAGTTCTTTACATGGTTTTGAGTATTTTCTAACACAAAATTAATCAAGAAGGATTTGCCTGCTCACATCACTGGAAGCTTTATGGCACGTCCTTGATGTTTCTTTGTCTTGTGTTAAGAGACCACGACTCAGCTGGACACTCTGATCCAGGGCAACCTTGACCATCACAGTGAGCTCTCTGGAGAAGCTGCCCTTACCTCTGCTTCCACAGGGTCATCTGAGTTTTCCTCTTCTGTGTCCAGCAGCTCAATGGTTAACTGAACTTGACCTCTGCTCTGAATGAACATCAGCTACAAAGAAAAAGCAGAAGAAACTTCAGCAAGAGGAGGTTTGAAATAGAAACAAACACCTTCACTTGTCATTGGGGAAAAGGGGCAATGAAACAAGTTGGCAGTTTTGGGGGCTTCTTGGGTGCTCAAAGTAAGTTTGAGAGCATGGGAAGAGATACTATACACTCAGGTTTTTATCCAAAGTACTTCCCTGGCTCAGAAAGGGCCTGACCACTTCCTGCCTCTTTAGCAAAGGAAGTTATGGATTTGATTAGCACACGTTTATTAGCAATGTAGGCAAGCAGCAGTGACTTAATGCCCAGTGAATAGAGGCAGACCTCCCAACAACCGACAAAATTGAGACACCAGAGAAACAGGAGAGTTTGAGCTAACAAATCAAAAGCAGTGGCAGCCAAGCAGTCAGTATGATACAGCCCAAAGCTGCTGTGAAGCACTGGGGATATTCGTTGCTGTTCCAGGAAATATATTCCTCCTTGAAACTTCATTTCTGAGGGGCCCTTACAGAAGCATTAATCTATGTTCCAAAAGCTGGCAATGCATGTGCCGGTTTTGGCTGGGATAGAGTTAATTGTGTTCATTTTTGGTTGCCTAAACAAGGCACTTTTTTAAAGGACCAGTGCCTCTCCTTTCTGAGGCATGCCCTCAGCTCTTGCTGGTTTTACACTGCGGTTCAGAGCTTACCTTGAAGCAGTTCTCCTCGGACATGAGCTGCTCGGCTTTGCGCTGGTAGGCGGCCTCCAGGAGCGTGCGGGAGGACTGGGACGCCAGGAGCCCTCCTGTGGCTCCATTGCTGTTCTCTGACAGGTACAGGTCTGTCACCTGCACACAGATCTCATCGCTCACGATGTGCTGGAGCTGCAGACAGGAGCAATGGGGGAAGGGGTTTGTCAGGGAGGCTGCTACACCCCCATCAGAATAGAATAAAGTAAGGGTGTGACTATGGGATTGAGCTCAAGCAAAAAAATATCCCTTCGTTTCTTCCACTTGATGATGATCTCTGCTACTATGTGAAAAACCTACAATATCTTTAGAAAAATTAGCAGGTGGCAAAGCACAGCTACTCAGAGAAAAACTACACACAGAGAACATTCTGATCAGCAGCAGGGGAGGAAGGGCCAGAGCTCTGTGACACAGCGTGTCCTCTCCTCACCAAGGGGCTGCTGCTGTGTCTGAGGAGAGGGGTGGGAGGTTTAAGATCAAATCCATATTTTGTGTAAGTTTAAAAATCAATAGTCTCCCAACTGTCTTCTGAATTCAGTTAATCTCTGGACTGAAGCGCTTCTGAAAAGCAGCTCTGCCCTTCTGAAAGAGGAAAGCCCTTTCAAGCTATTTCACTTCCAGCCCCTTGTGTCTGTTTTTGTTCTTCATGCTACAAAAAGGCATAAGAATTTTTCCTTTGCTCACACATTCTTCCTACCAGCCCAATAAAAGGACTGGAGTTTAACAGCCAAAAGGAGCTACTCCAGCAGCCAGATAAAAGAGACAAAAGGTTTTTAGAAAAAGTGTGCACTCCTACAGCACTGATGGAAAGGAAAGAAACTATTTAGATGTAATTTCCTTTTTTTTTTCAATGCTAAAGCAAGATTAGCTCCGGACATGCTTTGAATACTTACATCCTAAAACATCTGGAAAACAAGGAGAACTTTGTAGAGGATATTCTCAATAATTCAAAGAGATCAGAAATCAATTTCTATAATTTCTCTATTATGAGGCTTAGAGAGCTGGGTGAAGAAACACCCAGAATTTACCTTCTTACCCCTGAAACTCCCCATGTGGGCATACACCGCAGCCTCCAACGCGAGCCTGGGTTCTCACTGCAGCAAACAACCTGCCTGCTTTCTCTGCCCTGCCCCACCCAGCCCCCACTGACAGCCACCTGTCGGACGATGCTCTGGATCAGCTTGTCCATGGTGAAGGCGATGTAGGCGTGGATGGTGAACATCTCGCGCAGCGAGTCCTCGTACTGCGACGAGTCCATGTTCCCGTCCAGGAGGTTGCGCACCATGTCCAGGAAGGCCGGGTAATAATCCTCAACATCAATGTCCACTGCAGCACGAGAGAAGGGGAGAGAGAGATGGGCACACCATCCCCCAAGAAGGGTTGCTGTGAATTTTGGTCCTGAAGAGTTAGTTAAACTTGCCCTTTATAGACATAAATCTTTGTACATAAAATCATACCTTTTAGGGCCACAGGTATTTTCATAATCTCCTGCTTTCTAGCTCTAGCCTCCTCCATGAGCTTTTTGTTTCTGAAAGGTTTTACTCAGGGATTTGGGGATATACAAGTGTACAATGACAGCTCTTCTGAAATAACTGTGTATATTATCCTTCTGCTAGTCCAAATCCCATGTTCTCTACATCTTCCCATCTCCCCATAAAGAGAGCCCATCTTAATGGGTCACTGCTGTCACGTGCCTGAAGACACCACACACTCTGTAACCACACTACAAACAGAAACACCATTTCCCCCCCAGCCTCCCACCAGAATCACTCACTGGGCTCCTTCAGTCGCAGCTGGATGGCAGGACTGTCACTCTTGTCTCGCTTTATGCCCAGCACTTCCCTCTCCCACTCCCGTTCCCGCGTCTCCTCCTCGATCTGCCGCTCGGCCTGGGTGCAGATCCGCAGCAGCCGCAAGCACAGGATCTGGTGCAGCCTCATGAAGATATACCAGTTGCTGTTCACGTAGAAGAGGTTGTAGACCTCATCCATGCCCCGCAGCTTCTGGGCTGTCGTGTTGTTGAACATCAGCTTGGTTTTGGGAGGACTACCCCCAACACCGTTGTGCTTTTTTGCAGCCCCAGTAGCTTCATCCACATCCATTTCCTCTTCCTCTTCCTCTTCCACATCCGAGAGTTCACCTCGCTGAGCAAACAGCAGGTCTGGAATGAAGTGATACATGATCTGCTTGATTTTGTACTTGTCCTCTTTCTGGATTCCTGTCTGCCGCTTCACATGGTGGATGATGAGAGAGGCAGCATCTTCCAGGATCTGCTTGTCTTCATAGGCGAGTGAGAGGTGTGGGCCCGTGGGGACTCCAGCATTGTCTTCTGAAGCCTGTTCTTGCCTCTACAAAGGAGAAACAGCATAAAAATCAGCCTAAACAATCCCTTTCCACCACCCAAGAGCCTGCTAGAAAGCTCCACCATTGGAAGAGATTTTCTCCCTCATCAATCTGTGAGGAAAAGGAACTGAAACTGCACTAGCAAAGCACATATGCTTGAGGGAAGGAAACTGTTGGCGACCATCTCACCTCATCATAGATGCTTTCAATCTCATTGAGGAGACTCTTTGACCTTAGGACCTTGGTATCATTCTGCTTGAAGTTGATGCCCTGGTGGTCCAAGGATTTCAGGTAATACTTCTCATTCTGCTCTCGCCAGACTTTATTAAATCCTCTCTGGGCTTCTCGCCACTCTTCCTCTTTCATCTTTAACCTTGGATCAAGAAAACAAAGGTGAGCTAAGAGGTGAGCATATAAGAAAAGTCTCAGCCCCTGGTTCTTGGTGAGTGTTGACAAGAGCTGAACTCCCAATGAAATGGGCCTGGATCAAAGACATCCCACAGAAAGGAGCTTTCCAGAAGGTGCCTCCTGGACACACCCGTCTGGAGAAACCACTCTGTGTTTCTTTAACATTTAGGTAAAACCACACAGGAACAAAGCAGCCCCAAGGGAGGGAATAAAGGGACAGGGAAGGCACAAAAGCTGGCCCCGGTCTCTCAGAAATCCCCAGAAAGCTTCACCTGTGGAACAGGGGCAGCTTAGTTTGGACAACTGAACAAAGCATGGACACCTGAGTACCCTGGGAATGCACTCCTGAACCTTGACTCTGCATCCCAAGCAAAGCACCCCTGATTCAGTCCAAGAAGGGTAGGGAAACTGGGACCTTGCATGTATTCTGGGAAGGCTGCTCCACCCAGCTCCAGAACTCCAACACACAGGACCAGGAGTCCCACAGACACAAACCAGCATGTGCTGCTTACACACCTCAACCAGTTGCTCAATCCACTCCCCTTTAACTGAGGAAGGGGAGGCTGACAACAGAAATATTCTTCAGGGAATCTGGGGATAGCAGAGACACCACGATCTGGGCATGTAGGCCCATGGGATTTGGAAAGGGATCACAGTCAGCCCTGGGACAATTCCCTTATCTTACACACAGTGCTGACACCAGGGAAGAAAAAGTTTAAGAGGAGACAAAAAAAGCTCTATATCCTTCCAGCTGAGCTGTAAGATTTTGGTTCAGGAGGGCAATTCCCTCTAGGTGATTATTACGGAATACACCAACTGTCCAGAATAGAAATGACCTTTTTCGTTTCACAGAATAACAGTCATGGAATGGTTTTGTTCAAAAGGGACCTTACAGATCATCTTGTTCCACCCCCTACCATGGGCAGAGACATTTTCCACTGGACCATGTTGCTCCAAGCCTTGAACACTTCCAGGGGTGGGCCAGCCACAACCTTTTGGGGCAAATTTACAGCCTTGTGGAGGGCACACTCCCTAGGGGCAGAAACTAGCCGAGCTTCCATAAGTTTGGACAGCATACAGTGCATTACCCTTCGGAAGGGACCCTGGGGCAGGCTGCAGGGGCAGTCAGTACCTTTTCAGCACGATGGGAACAGCCACTGACGGGTTCTTGCGAAGCCCATCGATGATGTCGGCTGCCTTGTCAGCGTATATCCTCTGGAGAGCCTTGCGGTGGATCACCTCCGAGGTGCCCCCCAGGGTGTTGTCCAGCCGGAATTTGGCCTGCTCCTCCGCAGACAAACGAGACAGCTTCTTCTGGATTGCCTCGAGAACGCGGATGGTTGCCAGGTTGGTCTCCAAGACAACATCCAGCTGGAGAGAACAGTGCATTAGCCGTAGCATTTGAACAGACAAAACATGATACTTCACCGAGGCAAACATTCAAGTGACATGAAACAAGAAGCTGCGCCTGTTTAACAAGGTGTACTCGAGCACTTTGGTGTTCAGCTGCTCTAAAATAATCCAATTACATTTCATCTGCTACCCAAATAATACTGTGGAAGAATTTAAAAGGTACTAGAATGATATTGTTCGGAAATTACATCTTCCTGCTGGGAACAGAACACAATTGACAGTTACTCTACAAAAGGACGTGCCAAATCTGTGCAGATTCAGGTAATTGCCCAGCTAACTTCCATTTCCAGTCAAAATGTCAGTCATTTAAAATCCTGAACATATTGCTTTGCAGATGATTACAGGGGAATGCATGTTCTCATGCACTATGTGGGCAGGAAGAACAGAAAAGATGCAACAATTCCATGCTGGCCATTCAATAGTTTCATGTGGAGCAGGTGAATGAAGAGCTCTACAGAAAAGGTAAGGGGCAGGGGTGGCAGCTCAGGTTATGCAGCCACTGCTTCTTGCATGAAGAGAAAACAAGCTTTTATGCCAAAAACCAGGTGGCAGACACAATAAAAGATGCAGAACTAAAGGTATCATTACATAAAACTCATTAACTGTCCACAGAACAGAGCTTTCCGAGACAAGAACCAAGGAAAAGCAATTTACCTCAAAACGCTCGTCCTCACACCTGTAGATGTGCTCTTCATATTGTGTCTTCTTGGAGCTCACAAATGTGGAATCTTCAGACCAGGATGGGAAGGAGACCCAGGTGTCATTCAAAACCTTTGAGGGAATCAGAGAGAGAACAAGAGTCATGGTCAGTGTGCAAGGGGATCACACTTGGCCAGCTTCAAGAGCACTCTTCTGATGGGATAATCTAATTCCCAGTTGGAAAAAGTGTGTGCCCCTTCCAAAGCCCAGCTTTCACAGGGCAACACCAAACAGCCAGGCAGCCTGAAAACTTCATAGGCTGGAGCTGTGAGGAAAAACCTTGCAGGAGAAGAGGAAAATAAAGGTGAAAGGAGCTTTTTCTGCTTCTTTGGATTAGTCAGCTGCAACCAGCTGGTTGCCTATGTGTGATTTACCATCAACACTGTATGGTCACCACAGCAGCCCTGACTGTTAGGACACAGTTGCTGCCTCCAAATAAGGCTAATTGTAAGTATAAAACCATACCCCAATATCACCTTTCCTGACAAAACAGCTCAGCACTTTCAATATAGGAGCAGACCATTAAAAAGCAAACAAACAAAAAAGCCAACAACAATCTCAAAAGAGGCTGAATGCAAAGAAACAATGATTTTGGCAGGCAGTCTTGAAAGCCAGGTCCAGTTTTCATAAACCCAAAGCCTGAACAACTAAGTCATTAGATTCTCACAGGGAGAAAAGTTTGTAACTGCATCACACAAGAATCTTTTGAGAGACATGTCAAGACATGGATTAAAAATTCAGCATTTCAGGGAGAAAGATAGATGCATCTGAGGGAATACGTGGGAGAATCTGTCTAGAGAAAACATGATTTTCTTTTAAAGCTGGCCTGGAGACAACTATGAAAGCAGGCCAAGTGAGAATTTAGGTAAAAAGGTATCCTGAATTACATACTACCTTGTAAAGGACCTCTGAGATCACATTCAGACCACACAGAAAACCAGTTCTGTCATCTCCTACTTAAGTTTGCAATCTTAACGTTCCTTTCACATAACACATGGTAAATAAGATGCAGGAGCAGTGGGTATGTCAGTAATTAACCACCATAACTATTCAGTAGGTTTTTCTCCAGCTGCCCCCCAACGCTCTATGCAAACCTCTCACAAACGCTGCTGGAGAAGAGCTGATGCCAACCATCAAAGCCACGTGGGCAGCACAACTTCCAGCCAGCTTCCAGCATAACCCAGTTCCTAGACTGACACCTCACCCTGTGCAATAGCTTCTGGATATGATCCAGATGTTTACAGGAGTGCCACCAGGAATTCCTTGGGTGTGCTCCCCTCGGGCTGCCACACGCACCGCGGTGATCCCGAGCCAGGATGCTGTGCCTGCACACGCCTGGGTGCAGGAGCAGCATGGATCAGTGCTGGGCAGGCAGCAGCCTGGCCCCAGCTCCATGGTCACCACCACCAGATGTGCCCTGACATCCCCAGGAACCTTTCCAAACAGGCATACAAACTAAAGCCCCCATCCTGCTCTGTTTTGCTCGCTTTTGCTCTGATGCTTTAAAAAGGCTGGGAAGAGCCTTCCTCTGTGGCACAGCCCCTGCCTTACCTCTTTACACAGTGGAGTTCTCCCCGTGCACTTGGGCTGCTGGTAGCTCTTGGGCAAGGCTCGGTAGCTGGAGCCCAGCCTCTTGCAGGAGGCATAGTCAATCTCCATGGCAATCCCCTCAGTAGCCCGTTCCTTCGGATACGTCTCCATGTGAACAGACTCCTTGTATCCCAGAAAGTTTTTAAACCAAGTGAACAGTTCTGGGAATTTCCTAAAATAAAAGGAATGAAGTGATAAACGAGCTAAACAGAACACAAATAGTACCAAGATGTGATGCTGAGGCTAGAACTGATTACTACAGACAAGTCTCTAAATTATCAATCTGGTGAGAAGACTCTGCTCAACCCCACTCCCACAGAGCCTGACCAAATGGGAAGCAAGCACCTGTTGTTGATCAGGTGGGGGATTGCTCTCTTGGTGCAACTAAGGTGCTTCACAATTAGTGACCAGCAAAGAGCAGCTGTCAAGGCTTTTGCTACAGGAACAGCACTCGTGGCACAGTCACACCTGGGTCTCCCCAAACTACCCTGGCAGTGAACTCAGGCAAGATTCCTCATTGTTTGCCAATGGTTTGAACCTTAAACCAGATCCTTCCTTTCCAGAGCCAGCAAGAAGAAACCAAAAGGCAATTCCGTAACTACACAAAAGGTTTCAGTGCCAAGCAATTGCTTCAACCAGATTTCACAGAGCAGCATAAATAATGGAGAAACCTTTGCCTGCAAGGCCCAAGTTTGCCTGTTTGCAGAATTTCCTGAAAAATTTATTCGTCTAAAATACAGCATTTGCTCATGTCCTCTTATTTCATGCAAAGCTCCAGCAACAGGATGAACTGAACCTGTTACTAATTGAATCACTAGTTATTCATTGCTTTTTCATTGTATGGCAAAAGATAATGTCCAACTCCAGAATAAAAAAAACCCTTGTATTATATCTTTCCCTATAGTAAGGAGCATAGGCAGTAGATGGGAAAAGTACAGAATTTTCTTGTCAAATATTGCACCTTTTCTAATGCCTGACTAATTCCAGTGGATGCACAGAGTGAGTGGAAGCTCCTTAGGGCAGTTTCTCTGAACAGTAGCTACTGTAATGGGGTCCTGAACCCAATTTATGTTGCTACTGCCTTCTTCTTTGGAACCAGCAATTCAGTGTCCAGGCAAAAGAAACACTAATCCTGCTGCCCAAAGTTGATGAGAGGGTATCTGTTGGTTTTAACCAATTAATAGAGCTGTTCTGTACACTGCTGACAATCATGGAAGTTGTAAATTCCTATTAAAAGTATGGAGTTCCTTAACATTTTTGGCTTTGTGACAGAATTCAGCTGCTTTTTGGAAACCTTAGTGAGTTTATATCAGAACTCTGCTTTTTTGGGGGGACATTTCCTATGCAATTAGACAGTCAATCTTTTCTGAAATGACATAACCCGTAATTCCAGAGCAAGAAACTGCAGTAAGAGGCTGCTAATAATTTTGTTTGCCCCACTGGAAAGGGAAGGCACACAGCAAGAAACACCTGTACAGCTCCTGCATGCTGCCTGTCAGGACACAGCTGGGAATCTCTCTGTAATAAGGAATAGGAAAGGGCAGTGCAGAAGACCATGAAGATGAGTGTTTCTTTCCTGGCTCCACAAGAGAAGCAAAGCAGGAAAGGGGCTGCACTTACCCCAGGAATGGAGAGACCAGCTGCACGAGCTCAGCTCGGGAGATCACCTCCTGGTTGAAAATCACCAGGCAGCGCAGGAAGTTCTCGTATGCCTCTGTGCTACGCAGAGCTTTGCGGACCTGACCCAGAGGAGACAAGAGAAGAGGAGCTGTCAGGGTGAGACTAAGCAGGGAGAGGTCCAGGAGACCTGGATTTGACACTGTGCTTCCCACTGAGGCACACAAATCCTTGAGCTGAACAGAGAGAACGTGCCCTGCACACAGGGCCAACAAACTGGTAGTGATTGGAGCCACCCCACGCTGGGATCCCCTGCAGCATCAGCACTGGGGCATTAGTCTAAGATAGGAGCTGCAAGTGAAGAACTAAATCCTTCAAAGAACCCTGTAGCAGCTGGATTACAAAACACTGAAATCATGGACAACATGAGCTGTAACTGCAGCACCACAAACCCACCCAGGGCTGCTTTTAAACTCCAGAGAGTATTTCAACTAGGGAGTGGGGATATGAGACCCATACCCGGGGTACCACCTCTCCAGCCTCTGCCTGCTTCCAGCTTGGATTGTCACAGACAATCCTCCTTCTGTAACCCCAATCTTCACAGAATGAGGAAGCCAAACTGTTCATCCCAACACCACTATCTTCCCCACAAGAACAGCTGGATCTACATATCAGACTGAGATCTATCATTGTTAAGTTATTCATCATTCTGGTTATAATTATACAGCAGGGATTTCTAGGGATTTACTCATGTTAACACCTACACATCCTTCAACCAATAAATTGGTTCCCAGTTATCATTAGCTGGGTCCCATCACGCTGCAGAATTCACCAGATCAGCAGGGAGCAACCAAGACTGTCATCAGTGTGCAAATATTGCTTAAAAGATGATTTTAAGTTCATCCCATGCTCCCCTCTGAGCTATAAGACACTGTATGGACATCTCAGAGCAGACACCAAGGTACCACTTGGAAACATCCCATATCTCCTTCACTTGATCTGTGTGTTAAACCAGCAACAGGTAACAACTGTGCAATTAATTAGATTAATCTCTGAGGGGAAATTAAAAAAAAAAAAAACAGCCCAATGTAAATATGAATCAGGTACTTTGTAAACTGAGCTCCCCCACTGCAGCCAGCTGGCTGTAGATGGGTACAAGCTGTGCCAACACAGCAAGACACACCACGCACATCATCAGCTGTACAGGGATCTTACAAAGGGGAAAACCATTTGGAGTGTGGGTTACAGGAAAAAATTCCCATTCCCTCAAACAAATCACAGCAGCAGCAGGTGGAAAGCTGGAGAAGGAGCTTTGGGGAAAAAGCATGTGTAAAAAATATAACAAATTTTTTAAAAATTCAGTGTATCTGACTTAGAGGTTGCATGATACATCTGAGGTCAAGCTGAGAAATGTTATCAAAGTGGTGTAAATCTCACACACTTCACCGTGATCAACATCCAGATGTGTATACAGGAAGGACATACATCAAGGACATGCAACATCTGCCTCCTGCCTCTCACCTTCTCAAAGAAGAGAGATTCTGTCCCCACACCATGTTTGCTGGCTTCTGCCAAAGACTGGTCTTTCAAACCAAGCAGCTTTGGTTTCTTCTGTTATCAAAAAAAAAAAAAAAAGCAATGAAAAATAAAAGGGGTGTTCAGCAAGTTGGGACAATCTGATTATCTATCACACATGAGTGCCAGCTCCCTGACGCCACCATGTGCTTCCCATTAAAGGAAAGGTGGCCTTTCTGGAGGAAAAGTCTGTTAAAGCATGTGCTACAAGTTGATTTACTGAATGTTAATAAGTAGCATGCCACTCCAAATATTTGTAATACATTGTTTCACCCTTTCCTGTAACTACCTGATTGTTTCAATCACACTACAGCATATCTTACTTTGATAACTAGTTTGGAAAACTGCCAGAATAAATGATTTTCCTATCACTCATCCAGTTCTACAAGTCTTACACCTCCCCAGAACAACAATTTTTTTCTCTATTACACTCTACTGCAAGATGATTTATTTTCCCTGTCCTCAGAAAGGCTGAAAGTTGCCTCCAAAACGTGCTTCATTTTGGTGCCCTCGATTTGAAGAGGAGGAGAAAGGGCAGAAGGGGACTTAAATGGTACAATTATGCCTGCTAATGCTTTTCATGACAAAAGAAGATATACTGGCTTCAAAAAAAAGCAGGCAAATATATCTCTCATGCACAAACTCGAGGCCACCTGGCCACAGGACAATTTTTGTTGCACTACAAAGCCTCGCTGCTCTCACAAATCATGCGTCATTTGAAAAGGGCGAACTCTGCTGAGAGAATAATCATTTATCATTGTATTAAAGGCTTTATCACAGGAAAGATGAGCAAACATGATTCTACTGCATCTGCTCCAAGTTCTACTACAACAAAGCTTTCAGTCACACCTTTTCAGCTCATCTTTTCCTACATGCCTTAGTAACATTTGCTACAAATATTGGGCAAATTTATTCTGTGGCATGACTGAGACTTTCGTCTCCACACTCCATAACTCCCCCTCATTAAACACTGCTAATAAAACTACATCTTTATTAGAAAGTGATGAAAATTCTGTTTCCTCATGCCATTAAAGTAACTATGTCCCACCCTCAGGAACAGACACCCCCATCGGTTTGCAAAAATCAGATGCAAAGACTTGTGCTTGGAAAAAAGGGCTTCTGAAAGGTTGAAAGACAAACACTATTTTCCATGTTCTCAAGCTGCAGCCCAGCCACAAAAATCAGAAGGACCTGGAAAACACATCCTGCTCTGCCCCAGCCTCCTGGGACAAAGAGGGCTCTGAAGGAGCAGCACAGGCTCTTACCTTCACCGGAGGGGTTGCTCCAGTGCCTGAGTGCCGTCGGATCTGGCAACCATTCTGGTTGGGTCTCTGCTGCTTGTTGTTGAGCTGTGGCTTCTTCACTGTGCCCCCGTGGTCATTCCTGACCGATTCCACTTTCTCTGCAGTTGTCTTACTCAACAGCTTGGTCAGAGACAAACCCATAAGAGCATTAGGGCTACAGTCCACACAAAATGTCACTGAATGGGCTGGGTTGGAAGGGATCTTTAAGATAATTCCGTTTCAATGCCATGCCACGGTCAGGGACACCTTTCACTATTCCAAGCTGCTCAGAGTTCCATTCAATCTGCCCTTGAACATCTCAGAGGACAGGACAGCCACAGCTTCCCAGGGTAGCCTGTGACAGTGTCTCACCACCCTCACAGGGAAGAATTTTTTTCTAGTATGTAAGCTAAACCTACTCTCTTTCAGTTTGAAGCCATTCCCCCTTGTCCTGTCACTCCATGCCCTTGTAAAGAGTCTCTCTCCATCTTTCTTTGAGGCTCTCTTCAGGTACTGGAAGGCCACAATTAGGTGACCCCCGAGCCTTCTGTTTTCCAGGCAACAATCCTAATTCTCTCAGCCTTTCCTCACAGGAGATGTGCTTCATCCCTCTGATGATCTTGGTGACCTCCTCTGGACTTGCTCTGACAGATCCACATCCTTCCTTTGCTGGGGACCCCAAAGCTGGATGCAGCAGTCCACAGGAGTCTGCTGCTCTTCCTAGCTCTAGATGATCAATGGATTTTACTGCAGTTACAGCACTAACTTAGAACAACCCTTTCAGGCAAATGAATTGCATTTAAAATAAAAGTTATTTAAGAGACAAGTTGTAGCCAGAATACCCAGTCTACACCCCTGACCTCCTTGCTACACCCCAGGAAAATGACAGCAAAAGCACATTTTTCTGAACACTGCCTTCATACATAACAGTCTGCACTAGGTATTTCATCCTATCTCCAAAGGTACTCACCACAGAGCTGTTGGCATCAGGCAGGAATTGCCCAAATTCTGAGAGCAGATCCTCCTGGTTCTTGAAGAGACGAGCCACCTGGGCATAGACCTCCTGCTCTGTCAGAGCTGGTGTGTAGTTCCCTCCTGCCTCCTTGGCATTACGCTGCTCTTTCTGCCAGAGGAAAGAGGAGAAGTGTCAGAAGAAAGGATGTACAAACAATTCAAGTGACAAAGAAAAAACAAACTTTCAGCAATAGAAATCATGAAATGGCAAAGGTCTGAGCTTCTTACGTAAAGCATCATACTATATTAATAGTATGGCTCTCATATATTCTAAATATCTATACTTTTATATACTATAAATACATCCTAAATGCCCAACGGGCCCTGAACAGTAAGACACTGACCAAGAAAGTGGGATTTTTGCTTTTAACATAGAGCTACCTTGCTCATCCTGACACATGCTCATAGAAAAATACCAAATCCAGTTTTTAAACAAGCATTTTAGACATGTCCAAACAAAAATGATGGATTGAGATCTATTACTTCATACAGCTATGTAATCTCTTTAATTTGCCAGACTTCTGGTTAATTCAAGAGAATTCAAGACCAGGCTGGACAGGGCTTGGAGCAACCTGACCTGGGAGGTGCCCATGCCCATGGCAGAGGGTTGGACTAGATGATCTTTAAGGCCCCTTCCAATCTAAACCAGTCTATGATAATCTGCTGGCCACTGCTAGTACAGCAGAAGAACCAAATGCAAGTTTAGGACACCACCCCCAAAGCAAAGCAAGAGAAAATAACCATACACAGACACAAAGCCACGTTTCCAACACTCACCTGATACGTATGGAGAATCTCCAGGAAGGCTTTGTAGATGTCTGGCTGTCCCTGGAACCGATTTTTGATCTTGTTGACATAGTTGATGGCGTGGTTAAACTCCACGGGCTGATTGTTCTGCAGGGATGGTGTGGTGCCCAGAGAGATTGTCACAGGCGTGTGCGGCTGGACCGGCGGCGAGCGCGGCGACGCGTACGGCGGGATCGGGGGGGTCTGCTGGCTGGCAGGAGCATGAGCCTGCAACTGCGATGGCTGAGGAGAACACACGCTGCGTTAGGAAGCATCACATCCCCTCATGGTCTGGATAAAAGCACTTTTAATCCACTTAGGGATAAATAAATAAATAAATAAATAAAACCAAATATTTAGTGGGCCAGCAGAGACTAAACCGCATCACGGAGACAAAATGCTTTGTTGTCATTAAGCAGTTGTTATTAAGATGATTTTCCTTGCTAATTGCTTTGGACTGAAAACTGACAAGAGACACAAACTACCGCAAAAACTTAACAGAGCCAAAATGCACAGGTACAGCTGGCTCCAACACTGCAAGTCACTTTGGCACTAGTGAACAATTGTGGGATGTATGAAAGTAATAGCAAGGGAAAACTTGAGTTTCTTGAGACAAAAAGCAGGCAGTGAGTAATTATTTTGAATACTCTCAATGGATGTCAAACAGCCAGGTGAAAATTTAGTTTTGAGGTGGCAACTGGAAATGCAAATATTTATTCCCCTCAACGTTTTACATTTCAGAACTTGTATTACATAGAGTTTTCAGGACTAAGAATGTAAATAACTGTTTTAGGATGGCCATAAATATCCTGTTACAAGGTCCTGCCTTGCTCAGCTACAGCTTTACTTGCCTGGTAGGGACATTCTACCTCATTGTCTAGCCTGCCCCTCAGGTTCTTTTTAAAGTTTCAGCAAGGGTAGTTCAACATTTTGCAGGTTTGATAGGGAGAAAACCATTTATCCCATGGTATTAAGAAGGAGACTGCTACATCTTTACTAAGAGCATGTACTTCTTCAAAACAAATCCCTGAAATCTGGCACAGCAAGTTCATTCTGGAATGATCTGCAGCGTCCAGTTTGGTGACTCTTTTAGCAAATCTTTCAGCATGTTTTTGTTTGCCGTTTCTGAGCAGGAAGTTGCATGTCCCAACAATGTTTGTCCAGAGATCAGCTAACTGCCACATTTTAAATCCTGCTGCTTTTTAACTGCATGTTCCATTTTCCTTTAGCTTTTCCATGTAATTGCTATCTAACAGTTTAGGGTTTAACAGTTTAACCCTTGAAACTTTGGAGATTCCCTAAGGCTCTGAAATATTTTCGCACTTTGAGGCTGAAATACACAAAATTTGATCTGGAGTAATCTCCTTGAATGTCTATTATCCTGTTCTGTTTCACATAAAATACATCTTTTGGACAGTAGCATCTGGATTATATCTAAGCCAGAGTCAAATTTGCTACTAAAAGGTCTCTGTTTTGGGCACACACAACCAATACCAACAGGCAACATCACGGTCATCTTGCTAAACTCTTGCACTTTAGATGTTACCAATAACTCCTGAACCCTTCCAGCTGACAGCTGAACCAGACCCCTCTACAAAAACCATTCAATCTGAAAACAAGACTTCAAGCAATGCAGAAGCCACCAAATAACAAATGAAGGTTTCCTAAAGGCTTCATTGCCTCAAGCATTTGAAACGATACACACACTTTCAAACCAAAGGGAACATCTTTACCACAACCTCTGTTTTGTGGGCAATTTCTCGGGACTTTAGGTCTAAGACAATATACACAAAAGCAGGCAGATAGTGTCTGCCCAGTGCTTCAACTAGGAACCTTTTCCCTAGGGTTGCTGGATCACTTCTTGAATAATGTGTGTGCCATTTACCAGATGCTCTGACTGTCTTTCAGTTCCCCACTGCCAGCAACAAGGCTTTTCCAAACCCTTAATGTTTTGGAAAGCTTATTTGAATTGCTGTCAAATTAACTGTGACTGCATCTTCAAGTTTGAAAATGAGAAACTAATCCAGGAACAGAAGGGAAACACATGAAAGTTCACAAATACTGTGGAAAAGCAGCGTGGAAGTTAATTTTTCACTCTCTAGCTCCACACCAGCTTCAGCTGGAGGCAGGAGGATCCCTGTGCTCCTAGTGCAGGTCACCCAAAGCCTCTCACCTTGCTGATTTTGGCAGGTGTGGGCTGTGGTGCCGGCTGTGCTGGTGTCGGGGTTGACTGCGCCGAAGGCTGCGACGGATGCGGCGGCTGCGGCTGCGGCTGGGGCTGCAGCCCGTGGGTGGGGATCTGGTGAACCTGCCCCGGGGTGGTCACGTTCACCATGTCATTGGTCTGCACCTCAATCTTGTAGCCAGGTGGCAGGAAGGTGTTGAAGCCCATGATCAAGTCTGGGTGGCCCTTGAAGAGCTGCGACACACGGCTGATCACCCCCGGAGTGTCGATGCTGAGGAAGGAATAAGATCACAATGTCACTGTCCTCTGGCACCTTGCAGTGGGACAAGGTTCTCCACACAGCAATCTTCCAGTGGATTTTTTTCCCTTATCACTTCTAACCTATGAAACAATGCAAAACTGAGTCCTATAAACAGACTGCTGAACTCAAGAGTGACACTAGCATTATTTTATCAGCCCAGACAGAGTTGTATATCCATCAGATTCAGTCCCAGGTCTGACCATTATTAATGGGCGGACAACCAGACAGCCAGATGAATCAGCTGTCAAGGCTGAACTTGTGAACTTCCACTCTAAGCAGAGATTTAGTATAAATGAAGGGATGCATTTCATTTTCAGAAAATAAAGCACATAACTGCTCTTACATCATTGTCCAGGTGTCTTATGCTGTATACAAAGGACAGAATTCAACTCCTGCCCTGTGCTCCCATGTCCACCCACACTCTTTTTAACTTGGAAAGAAGCAAAATACAGCTTATTACCTTTGAGATTTAAATTCCTTCATTATATCCAAGAAGTCATTGTAGACCTGTGGCTGACTACCAAACTGTAGCTTCACCTGGTCAAGGTAAGACAATGCATCCTCCACCTGGAGACAGACCAGACAGGTCATATTAGCAGAGGAGATTTGATTTCACCTCCCATTGTTCTGTAAAACACCCATCATTTGAAAACACAACTGTTAGCCCTGAAGCCCTGAGCCTGGGCAGGGAATTAAGGAGCAAAAAGCTCATGAGCCAGATTTGTGTACTACCAGCACTGTTTGAATAAAAGGTACTCACTCCCCACTCCTGGTGCACAAGATAAAACTGTACTAAAAAAAAGACAAAAAGGAAAAAAAAAAAAAAAAAGCACCACAGATCAGTAGAATTACTCAGAATTAAAAAAAAAAAAAAAAAAAAAAAAAACAAAACCCAACACACTCCAAATCTACCATCACTGAAGTGACTGCTAGGATAAACAGAACTAGACTGAGTATTTTTCCTGCATTCATATGTGGAAATTATTATGGAAGTCTAAGAATAAGCAAAAGTGGAAATGACATATTCAGTGTAGTAGATGTCTGCCAGGTACACACTTGCACTTCTCTCAAAAAGCCAGACATTTCAGTTCAACATAGAAGGGCTTCGAAAATGGCAGCTGTGGGCGGTAAATTGTTTTACACCTCAAAGTAAGAGGTTCATAATTCGTGTACCAACAGCCAATTTTCAGAGGTACTGGAAGAGCTGCCACGGCCTAAAGCGAAAGCCCTGGGTCCCTGTGCCTCCAGCAGCCTGGCCATGCACTCAGCAGCTGCAGGAGCTACACATGGGACCTCTCTTTTGTCTGAAATTAAACAACAGCAACAGAAGAAAGACTCATGTATAGCCCAAATCTTGCACCAGCAAAGGACTCTCCATGGATTTCACTGTGAGGAAGAAGCACTCTTTTTGAAACGGGTTTTCAGAGGTTTGTTGAAATGAAGTTTCCCACATTCAATAAAAGGAAAGGGCAGTGGTTTCCACCAAAACTGGAAAAGACTCACACCGTATTTGGAAGAAGCTGAAACAGGCGTCAATTTGTATGTATGTGCTTTCTCCAAATGTAGCAACTTAAAAGGGTTATTTTTGGTGGACTTTTCTCTTTGTTTAAGGGTTTTACAGCACATAATCTGAGAATAGAGGCTTCCTTACTCCCAAATTACTCCCACACAACCACCCACATATGCCATGTGTTCAGAAAAGCACCAAATGTTTTGGTAATTTAACCCATTCATCCAAATACTCTAAGCAATACATTCCTCCTTTCCCTCCCTGCCACAAATATTTTCCTGACCAGTCTAATTTCTTTTGATTACGGTTATGTGAAACAACAGGGCTTCAGCAGAAACAGAAGTCAATTTCTGAATTCAACAGACTCCCAAATGTAAGAAGCATCAGGGAGGGAAAAATGGATGGAAGAAGGGACCTGGCTGGAGAAGGAATTTTGGGAGAGGATGTTTGACATCAGGCAGCTGCTGCCGTTACCTTGAGCCTCTGGAACTGCTGCTGGCCCTGCACGGGCACGGCGGGGGGCGTGGGGTGCGTGTGGCTCTGCACCACCTGGCTGCCGTGGGGCTGCACGGGCGCGGGGTGGTGGTGGCCGCCGTGCACGGCGGCGATGGCCGGCCCGTGGCTGCCCGAGCTCTGCGGCACGGCCGACACCTGCCAAGGCAAACAGCACGTCAGGCACGGCCTGGGGACACAGCAGAGAGCATCCCTGGCTCCCCAGACGCAGCAATGCAGTCAAGGAAGCAGAGCACAGCTGGTTTGAGCTTTAACCATGACTGCTAACAGCTTTACTCAACCAACTCCAGACAACTCTCATCCCACCCTCCAAATACAGGAAAGCCCTCCCTGCAGACACATTCCAAACACAGGTTGCCCCCAGCCTGCACGCTCACTGGCTGTCCAGTATGTCCTCTGACATAAAGACCTGGAAAAGGAGGTTAAAATGGAATTATTAATCTGGCAAGAGTCAAGGTTCTCTCCTTTCCCTACATGTGACAAGTAATAATCTGAATGAATGAATCTACATTCTTGCTAATTCAGTTTAGGTACTGAAAGTCAAATTGTGCCTCTCTGGCATCAGCAGGCTCAGGGGAAAACCCAGCTTGGAATTCCCCCTAGAAAACTAGGGAAAGAACAGAAAGCATGCACTTTTGGGACTTCTTCATACCGTAAACCAGGAAAGTTTCAATTTGGAAAATCATTTTTACAAACCCAGTTTTCCATTCAAGCCTATTTTAGATGGAACATACTTAATTTAATCCTCATGAACAAAATAAGGTTTGCCTGCTGGTCCATCTAAGTTCTTTATAAGAAGGATTGCCCGTATCAACACACCCTCTGCCAGCCCCTGCAAGGGTCTGCCTGCAGCTCTTCAGCTCTGTGGCTGCCACCATCAGCATGAATATCCTGTCTGCAGAAGCAAGGATGAAGCTGTGTGTAAAATCAGGCACTAGAGAGCCAGGGAGAGCAGCTCACCAGCAACACAAGTGTGGAAGATTAAACATGCCAGAAATGTGGCAGAGACAAATATCCAACAAATAGCCTTTCCCTGCTCTTTCACTGACAGCTATCTCCAGTGTACTCTTAAAAAAATTTTTTTTTCCCTTGTTCCCAACTGCCAGCTCCTTGTAAAGGAGGCAAGAGAGGGAAGATTGCCACCTAATGACTCTGGGGTAATGTTTTATGAAACATTTCAATTTTCCTGAAAGTCTTCAATCTAAATGCTGATCTAGTCTGTTAAGCTTAAGATCACCCAAGATACCATACATCTCTTACAACAGCAAACCTTTTCTTGCTGAAAAACAGAAAAATGGAGGAAAACCCCTCCACAAACCTGACTGTGATTCAGAGACCATGGTTTGAGAGAATCATTAGAAGAATCATGTTCAAGAAAGCCAACTCACATCATGTTGCTTCATAAATGAAGCCAAAAAAGCAAGCATTGACAACGAGATGTGCATTGTCTTTTAAAGGAAATCTCGGTTACCAAAACAAAACCTTGTGTCAAATACAGAACTCCACAGTGCCAAGACACGGTGCTGGCTGGCCAGGGAGCTAAGGGCTGAGCACACACACCTGGTAGCTGGGAGTTACGGAGTACTGGATCCCCGTGGCCGACTGCATGGTCTCGGAAACAGCCTCATAGACCGGCGGGGCCGGGGCGAGCACGCGGTGCTGGTGCGGGAAAGCCTCGGTGCTGCTGGTGATACGTCTCTGCTGCGACGCATACACGGGTGACTCCTGCTCATCCAATCGCCGCTTCATGCTGAACTCATGCTCGGGAAGCACAACAAAACCTGGGGAAACCAGACTGGTTAGCACGGGGAATTGATCCGGCACTCCCGTCCTGTGCCACGGCTGATGTGGAGATCGCTGCGAGCAGGCACGGCGAGTTTCTCTCTATTCAGGTGCTGATATCTTGCAAAGGAAAAGTGGAATTAAAGATTTAGCTTTCAACATAAAACATGCAACTGCATCTCACCACAAAAAGTACAGCCTTATTGTTGCAGTAACTTGAAAGTTAAGGATTTCTTCAGTCTCACCTAAAGGATGTTGCTAACGCACAGACCCTGAGCGATGCAGAGCTCGGGAATGTAGTGTTTGAACATAGACTGGGGAAGGAAGGATGTGTTACCTACACATCCTTTATACTGGCAACAGAAAAAATACCCTCTTGGACAGTCCAGGTAGGATGACAGCTGTGAGAGATGCTTTAAAACATGGGAAAAAAACAGGCTGCAGAATCAGAGTTTGAAGTCCTTTACAAAGCCCCAAAGCATTTAATACATGTGTATTAAATACATTTCATGTGTAACTTTAAGGAAAGACATAGGTCTACTATACTAGAAGTATCTGTGGTCCTGCCAGCACCCTGGCCCCACTCAGAAGTTGGATTCCTGCCTGCCTGCCAAGAAGCACAGATCAGCAGCTCTCTCACTTACTCCTCCATATTTTTTTTCATGTTCCTGCCCAACCTCAAGATGCTTTTCTGCAACTTGATTTCACTTCAAATCTGACAGGTCATTCTGCCACTGTCCCATTCCAAAAGGAGCCATGAATTCCTGGCTCTGTTGGATTGAACTAGTCACTCCAGTACTCTTTCCTGCAAGCAAATTCCAGTGCTATTTCCTGTCCATTGATAATTATTGCCATCCTTGAGATGTTATCTGCTGTTTATCAAAAACACAGGCAGCCTGTTAAGATGTTGGAAAACAGTGAAACCACCCTCTTCTGCTTCAGGATCTCTCCAAAGCAAGGTCTTTTCAGTTCAGTGCAGTTAAGACACTCATTGCTAAGGCAAGCACATGGATAAATGAGAGGGAACGATGTTCCCCTGGAATAATGGTAACAGCCAGCTGAGCCAATCCCCATCTACCAAGTCAGGACAGCTCTGCACAGTCTAAATCTACTGTTAATCAGATAACCCCAAGATCATTAACTAATACCTCACATCAAATATGTAAACAGGAATCAGCAGGATAAAGGTGTAAATTTTCCCCTCCGTGACATAAAACATGGAAAAGCTTTGGAAAAATTTGTTTTGGAAGGGACCTTAAAGATCATCTCATTCCACTCCCTGCCACGGGCAGGAACACCTTCCACTATCATATGTTGCTACAAGCCCTGTGCAACCTGGCCTTGGACACTTCCAGGGATGGGGCAGCTACAGCTTCTCTGGGCAACCTGTGCCAGGGACTCACCATCCTCAACAGGAAAAAAAATTCTTCCCAGTACCAAATATAAATTCTCCCTCTTAGTCCCTCCTTTCACTTGGAGAGGGTAGGACAACAAGGAAGATGACTTAACTTATTTTTGAAGTTACTCTTCAAGTTTTACCTCTCAAGAGGTCCCCAAATCACCTGGCACAGGTCACAGACAGGAAGCAGAGGAGGACTCCTTGCCCAGAGCATCTTAATTGCAAGTTACAAACCCTAAGTAAGCCTGACCCCCTGCACACACTCAGCAAGCAGAGGAACACACTCCAGGAGCTCACTTCTCTAACGGTGCCTGCACTGGTTGTCTTTTCAACTGGTGTCTGCTGATAAATGAAGAGCCAGGAAGGTTAACATGGAGCAACTCCCCTCATGGAGCTACTTCTCTCAGGCACAGACCACATTTCACTTTGCAAAAACATTGTTTTATGCTAATAAGGCAGGGACTAAACTGAGTAAATCTGGCCTCACACCATCCACCCACGAGCAGAGCTGGCCAGGATTTTGCATGACAATGGCTGAATGCATGAGTAAAGTCTGGGCAAAGCTTTGGTGGCAGCTATTTACAACCTACTCACCTACTTGGATACCCTTCTGCTCTGAACACTGCTCCCTCAGCTGCCACTCGGTTTTGACCTCCCAGGCTGGTTCTTCCTCATCCTTTCAATACTGTGTGTAGATCCAGGTGGTGTGGAAGTGGTGTGGTGGCTGCTCAGTGTCCACCCTTGGGTCTTGTTTCCCAAAGCAGCACTCCACACTCACCTCTTCAGACAGCCTCCCCAGCCCCTAAAACAGAGGCTGTTTGAGGGCAGAAGATGGCTGGAAGACTCACATGCCCTTGTGAGGATTAAAATGCCACCTTAGGCTGTCTGAAAAGACTTTTCCCCATGAAGCCACCACAATTCCTGGCCTGTGAGGCCACAGGAATCATGACAGCACCAGGGATCCATCACACACACACACCAGCAGCATGAACATCAGTTTTTGAAGCTCCCAATTCTTGCAGGCCAAGTGTACAATCTTCCAAACATTTAGTCTGCTGTGTGGTTGATATTGTAAAACAAAAATTAAAGCTCAGGTACGTTCATCTTCCCTCTGAATTCCCCTCACCTTCACTAAATGAGCTTGGACTCTGCTTTTATCCAAGCACGGGACCTGCTTCAGCTGTGAAATTCTGCATTAAATATGGGTGTGTGTGTATATATATGTATATATATATATATATATATATATATAGTCAATATTTAGGTAATAGTCAATAGCTCCAGTCAATCTTCCCAGATAACACCAAGGGTCTGCAACCCACAGAGTAAGAGTGTCTCAGCAAACCAGCCCTTAATGAAAATTGCTGATTGACAGGCTTTATTAACCCGAGCAGAGATGAGGTCAAAGCTCTGCTGTACCTAGACAGAGACCAGTGATGGTAACTCTGCATCCACCACCACCCAGCTCTGGAGAGAGGGGAAAGCAAACCAGCACAACAGAGACTGGTCTGCATCCTGCAGGAGGAGATATGATGCTGAGTGGTCCCAAAGTGCATTCATTTCCTCACTGAAGTCCTGCTAACCTTGACCTGGCATCTCCCTCCAATCTCCTCTGTTCAAAAGCTAAAGAGATCTGTCCTGCAGCAAGTCCTTCCCCTCCTACAACCCACCAAAAAAAGCTGAGGAAGGAACAAGGAGATGAAACCCAGGACTAGACATGTCATTTTGAACTGATTTAGCCAAAGCATGCTGCTCAAAGGGGCAACTCCACCCACTTCCACCCTCAGTAACAACTGATTTTTCCTTAATGATGGCAAAGCCCAGCTAAGGGAAAGGTATTTTGAGAATAAGCATACAACATCAAAGACTTGTACCAAGAGCTTTCCCTCCACATTACAAACAATACTATGCTTATGCATCATCTCAGAAATGCAGCACACATCTCTGGCATCCCCTCATGGACTTTGAAGTGTAGATTTAGTGAGCCCCAATTCAAACTGCAATATCTGTAACCTTAATTTGAGGGTTGAAAAGCCCTCAAAATACAGCAGGGACTGAAAGTAAGTCACAAAATTCAGGTACTTTCCTTTGTTAAAAGCATTAACAGGATGCATGTAGGAGATCTTAGCTCCACCTGGGCAGACCAAGTCAAGAATTGAATTTCCTTTCCCCAGCAGCATTTTTTTTTTAACTTTAGAAAGTTAAAGTACTCAAAACCGAACTCCCTTTTAACTCCTTAAAAGGAGCACACTTCATTCTATCTAGGGGAGGATGAAAACTATTGGGTTTTTTTTCCTGAGGTTTTTATTTTTTATGTTTTTAGAGGGTTTTTTTGCAGGAAAAGGGGGCTGCATGGGAACACACCTCTGGATCTCCCCACCTGCGCCACCTCCCAGCTCACCAGCTCTGTGCCACAGGTAGGATGCATCAGGCAGACACACACACAGGATCCTCAGCTGGTAAAGCAAAGGAAAAATTAAGAAAAGCTATGTTGCATCTCAGTAACAATGACAGAATCATGGAATTTTACCTCACCAGCTTCATCAGAGGGCTTCCCCATCCACCTGCCCCAGATGAGTTGGTGGGACAGATGAAGAGGAGCACATCCCTTTCCCTCTGTACTGAGGAAAACAGAGGAGTGGCAGTACTGACACAGAAGGAACAAAGCAGGGACAAGGCTGGATTCAGCTTGGAGCAGTGCAGGGCTCTCCTCCTGCCTGCTCACTGCTCCATGTAGCAACAGAGGCACAAGAGCCCAGGTGCTCTCCTCTTCCATTGCAAAACCACCTCTCTGGTGGCAGCGCTGCTCTCCAGAATTTTACCACGTAATATCTCAAAAATCTCCATTATTTCTATTGCAGGTTTTCCCACCACATAGGCAGGGTCTTCTGGCACTGGAGATCAGCTGGTAAAGTTAAAAGAAAAAGCCAAATAGACATGAGGAAGAAAGCAAATTGGGAAGGTGTGCTGCCTCAACACCTGTTGGAAACCCAGCACACCTGTGGATAAACACCACCTTCACCAACAAGCTGTAAAACTCCACTGGAGAGAATTTTGGTCCCTCTGAAAAACTGCAGGGAAATTGAAGAGCTGCAGAGGATGTGTTTAACACGTGTGAGGGCTTTTTAGAAGGTTTTCTTTCGAGGGAGAGAGGACACAAAAGTAGGGAGCAGCAAGTGTGAGTCTCAACTCTGCTCCCGGAACAGTCACGGATGTCCTGCAGGACACGTCCCACATGGGATTATAGAGGAGTGCACAGCAGTGCCTGCTGAAAAGGAGCCGGCTCAGGTTCCAGCAGTGCTGCTAACCCAGCCACACGACTTCCAGAACATGACCCAGCTTGTTCAGCAGTCACTGCTACACTTTGTTTTTATGGTGCCACACAGCCCGGATCCCCACCTGCAGCACAGGGATAACCCCTTGGCCACACTACAGAAAGGCACATCTAGGACCAGAGCATCATTCCAAAACAAAATGAGGAGCATCCGTAGAAAAAGGTGCTGGAAAAGCACAATCTGAAGCTTTGGAAGAAGTTGGGAGAGTTTTCTGCAGGGTGACATCGTGTCAGCACTCACCAAGAGGCAGGTGGGACACAAAAACCCCAACTCGTCCAGATGGGGAACAAGTTGGTGAGACACTGATCCCTGTTTGCCAAAAAGTGGCCCAGGTGCCAAACCCCACCACAGACACGATCCAAAACACGCTGACAGAGCTTAGAGCATTGTTTTGCCCCATTCCCTGAGTGCACCTACCCTGCACACAGAGAGAATGATCAGAATCCTTTTATTTAACCAAAAGGAAAAAGAAAAGACCCCAGCAGGGTCGGAAAAAAGTAGCAGGGTCCCAAAAGCACACCCCAGGCCAAAGTGACAGCTATTACGAGGCTCTTTTCTGCTCCAACTCCAACAGCCATAAAAGCTTTCCAATGCTGGAGAAGTCCAGAACAGCAATCTGGACAGAAAACTATTCATAAATCCTGGAAACGTAAATGATCCGCCTGCCAATTCCAACACGATGCTCCCAGCCCCAAGACCCACACGTGCCACCAGCCTGTGCAGAGGGCTCCCCCAGCAATCCAGGCTGGGGCCAGGGGGACAGCATCCCCCTTCCCCACACTGCTCACAAAACCAGCCAGAGTTTCCCCAAACTTGAGCAAATCGGTGCTATTTTTTTTGATGAATGATTACGTTGCAGCATCTCAAACAAATTCATGCTGAGACCATGAGTCTCCACCAGAAGCAGAAGGTGGGAGGGATGAGGATAAGATAGTTTGGGGGGAGAGAAAGCACGATTTCCTTTGATAAAGAGCATACCCATGTGAAAAACTGCTAACTTCACCTCAGCAGGGAAAAAAAAAAAAAAAAACCACCCTAAAAAGTGATTTTCTGTCCTTGGGGATCCAGCACAGGCTGACACTAGGCTGCCAAGGCACTTTATGTGATGAAGGAAGTTTTACAGATGCTTTAAAATTAGTATATTAAAATAAAATACCATTTTAATTTAAAATACTGCACTATATAGTTAATCCTATATAGTAATGTAATTCTATATAGCAATGCTTACTTTTCTGAAAGTGTATTTTGAAAAATAATTATAAGTTGGGAGCGAAAAATGGCCAGTAAAGATACAGCTGTACTGAATTAAGTTGGGCATTTCCCACTTGTTTACTGACCTGCACCTTTTAGCACAACTAAAAGCGGCAACTTAAGAGAAACATGAGGTGTTATGTCAGCCTTAAGCTACACTTTAACACACAGACCAGGTTTAGATTCCTCTAGACAGCGTGGGAGACTGAAAATCCACGCACAGCTGGAGATGCCTTTGATAATTCATTTAAAATAGAGCTGACACAACTTATTTTGCCCCATTTCAGTGGTCCAAATAAATAGGTTTCTTCAGGGATGCAACTTCTATCTGAGCACATGTGCTATTCACACAAATAATGTGAACCCAGGCCAGGAAAAGGCAGAGAAAACAGGATTTAGTTAAGCAGACATAAACACTATCCTACTTTTAAAGCTACCTGAACTCTACTAGCCTGCTGCTAGCAAAAAAACCCTACAACCTTAAAGTAGTTTCTAGGGATGTACAGGAGCCTGAAGAATTTTTAAAAAGGGATGAAATACCAAACGTAAGCGTCTGCCAAGTGAGGACGAGCAGAGGGATCCGGCTCGCTATAAAAATCGCAGGAAAATTAATGGGTGCACGAGGAGCTCTCGGGTTTCCCTGCATCCACGCGTCGCTCCAACAGGTCCTTGTCGAGAGCTGCGCTACGGAGCCGGAGAGCGGCGAGAAGCCACGGGGGAAGCCTCGGCCGTGCTGGAACCGTGCCGGAACGGGACCGCGGCGGGGGGACGGCTCTGATGGCAACTCCGCCGGGAAGTTGGGCGAACCCCGGGACCGGGGAGCACCGCGCCCCCCCGCCGGCTCTCGGAACGCCCCCCGGCCGCGCGGGAGCCCCGGCGCGCGGTGCGGCCGGTACCGGGGCCGTGCGATGCGGGCGAGCGCTGCCGGGGGCGGTCCCGCCGCAGCCCGGGAGCGGCACCGGGCGGAGGGCGGGCGGAGGGGCGGGGGGAGGAGGCGGCGCCCGGCTCGCAGCGCGCCCAGCGGCCGCCGCACGCTCCGCCCGCCGCTCCCGCCATGCCGGGGCCGGGACACCCCGGCGGGGCGGGGCGGGGCGGGAGGACGCGCGGCCGCCCGCGCGGGCCGGGGCTCCCCGGGGAGCCGCGCCGCGGGCACCGGCCGCCCCCCCCCACACCCCGCGCCGCCGCCGCCGCCGCCGCACCGGCGCCGGGCCCCGCCCCCTACGGATCGCCGGAGGGGGCCGGCCCCGGGCCCGGCGGCCTCCCGTCCCCGCCGCCCCGCTCTTCCTTACCTCGAAGCGGCTCCTGGCAGCGGCCGCGTCTCCCTCAGGGTCCGGGGGCGGCGGGCACCTCCCGGGCGGGCGGCGGGGGCGGGCTGTCCCCGGCGCAGTGAGAAGGGGGAGTCCCCGCGCCCCTCCTCCCGGAGGGGGGGGGCGGCCGGGGGCGGCGCCGGTGCCCCGGCGGGGGCGGGGGGCTCGGCGGGGGGGGTAAGATGGAGTAACCGTCTGTCGGCCGCCGCGGCGGAGCGCTGCCCGCTTCTCTGTTCCCCGGGAAATCCCGCCCCTCCTCGCGCAGGGGGGGAGCCCCGAGCGCCCGTTGGCTGAGACGCGCGCCCGTCACTCTCTCGGCCAATGGGAGCGCTGGCCCCGCCCACCAGGCCCTCCCCTATTGGCCGCGGCCCCCAGGAAGGGGATGTGGAGAGGAAGGGAGGGAGGAGAGGAGGGGGGGGGGAGCGACCGCCGAAGAAAAATGTCCGTATAAGCAGCGCGCCCCGCCCCCGTCCCGCCTCCCGCGCCGCCCTATTGGCTGCGACACCGGAGCGCTGGCCAATTGGCGAGCGGGGCCGCGCCGCCGTCACGACGAGAAGCCCACCCACGCGGCGAATTGGCCCTGCCCGCCACCGGCGAGGCCACGCCCCCCTCTCTGGGGAGCCTTTTTGTGGAATGTTTACATCGCGGCCGCGGCCCGCGCCAGCGGCTCCCCCCGTCAGCCCCCCACCGGCCCCGGGCCCCGCTGCCAACCGCTTCGGCGGCGGGAGTGGCGGGGGGGGACTTGGCGGCGGGGCTCGGTGCCGGCGGCGGCGCGGCGCTGCCTTTTGTCCCCGACCCCTTCACTTCCGGGATGGCGGCGCCCCACGTGGGGCGGGCCGGTTACACGTGCGGGCGGGGGGCACAGGGCACACGCACACGCGGGTCCCGCACACGCCCCGCACACTCGCACACGCTCACACTCACGCACGCACGCACCGAGGAGGAGCGGGGGGGCCGTGGGCGGTGCGCGCCGCGGGGGGCGGTGCCCTCAGCGGCTGCAGCCAATGGCGTGCCAGGAAGGGGGCGTGGCCAGCGCGGCAATGGCCCCCCGCCCTCCCCCCGCGCACACACACTCAGTCACTCGCCCCCCCCCGCCCGCTCCCGCCGCCCGTCGCGCGCTTCCCGCCGGCGGGATCCGCAGCGCGCGCGCGCTTCTCTCCCCCCCCCCCCCCCCCCCCCCGCTTTTCCCTCAGGTTCCCGCCCGCCCGGCGCTCGGGAAGCGATCCCCGTGCAGGGGGGCGAAACTGGGAAAGTGCGTGTGGGGGAAGCAGCTGTTACATACCCTCAACGCGCAGGCGAGCAGCCCTGAATGGAGGGGGAACTCCCCCCGGGGCGGATTGGCCCCGCGGCGCCGATCGTCACGGCCGCGCCGCCCACGGCGGGAGGGGGGCCGCGGGCAGGGGGTGTGAGGGGAAGGCCGGGAGGGAGCGGAGCCGGCCGGTGCCCCCGCGGCGGCAGCCGGCGTTCCCCTCCGCTGGAACACGAGATGAGATGGAGGTGGGGGTCAATGCCTTCAGTCGTCGTGTTTCTCTCCCTTTGCAAAGTTGCGGAGTGGGTTGCTGTGGCTTCCCCAGACGGAGGCTGCAGGAGCCAGGCCTGGCCGCCCGTTAGCGCTCGTCTGGGCATCTGGAGCGTGCTCGGGAAAGGCTGAAATACAAACGCACATATTCCACGCTTCTATTAAAGTGTGTGTTTCGAGCACCTTCTTCACTCAGAGAAGGTCTAAATCTATTTGTTTTTTGTTTTTCTTTCCAGCTGTTCTTCCCTTCCTCAGGCTGGGAGAGCGTTGCAGGAGCAGGCAGTGGGCTGCTGCCCGGACAAGCAGGCACAGCAGAGGAGCTCTCCGTAGCTGGGAGCTGCAGCTCGCTTTAACCCCTGGAAGGGCTCTCGACACGGGGCTTTGAGCCTGCACGGGCTGCAGTGCCACTGGAGATCGAGCCTGAACCTTGGAAACCGGAGGCAAGGAAGCAGAAGGGCTGGGAAATGAAGAGCTCTGGAGCTAGGCTCTTTCCAAACTCCCAGGGCGCAAAATTACAAGCACTAAAGTAATCGTCATTAGCGAGGCGGCGTGCATGCAGCCAAGAAAGCCAAATGAGCACAGCGATGGCAGCGCTGCTTTAGGATTGCCCTGCAATGCCTTTAAATCCCTGTTTCCAAACTCCAGTGAAACTTTGTATTTTGTTCCTGGAATTGCCTGTGCTGTTACTTTTGCCCGTGGTGGCTGATCCCCATCTCTGGGCCACTTCAGGGAAGGGGAGATCCTCCAGGCATCAGACTGCTTGCACTCAACAGCCCATTTTTCCCACCGCTTTCCAAACAATACAAAGTTTTTCTTTCCAGTAACTTTTGGCTGTCTGTGTAACGTGACCATTTCCAGAGAAATCCTTATTTCTACTGCTGAGTAGGACCTGCTGGCACGCACAGAATGGATGGAACAAAACATCATGTTGTGCAAGCAGGCTGAAAATGCTGGCTTTGAGAAGAAAGGCAGCCCTGGAAATAGTAAGGGAGGGTGAGTGTTTGGGTTGTTTTCCCATGGAAAAGGTTTACAACCTTTTCCTCCGCCTCCAGCACAGATGGGATCTTCATCTCTCCTCAAAGGGAGCAGCATATCCGAGCTGTTCCCATTCAGAGGTAGCGCTGGTTGTCTCCCTCCCTCTCCTCTGGTTATTCCTACTCGACACCCAGGATATGAGTCTTGGAAACATTTTGCTTCTCTGTGCCCACATCACGTGGAATTGAGCTAGAAGGCACAACCACCTTAACCGTGTGCATAGAGCGGGCTTGGTTGGGATTTCACAGCCAGTGGAAGGGAGACATGGGCTGGGCACATTCGTGGAGCCACGTGGGACACTTGGCATCACCTGCAGCTTTCGGATCTGGACCCAACACATTGCCAGAAGCCCCGCTGAGCTACAGAGAGCTTCTGCTGACAGCACAGGATTAACAATAAACTGCTAACACTCCCCTCCTGCATGTGTGCCGAGAAGAAAGCCCAGCTGGGTAAAAAACTTCGGCAGCGAGGAGGTAGGGCCCCAGGAGCCTTCCTTCAGAGGATGAGAGCTCTCTTAGAGGAGCCACCCTGCAATGGGTGCCTGGAGGGAAACTCTGGAGCAGCCTGAGCCAGAGGAGCAGAGCACACTGCCTGGGCTGATGCTGCTCCAAGAGAGAGCTGGGTGGGAAAAAGTACCTGGAAGGATGGGACACTGCAGCTGAACCAGAACCACTCTGCAGGCAGGATGTGCACAGCTCCAGGGCTGCTCCCAACACCCACCTCTCGTGCACTCCTATGCAGCCCTTCCAGACAGATTCCCTGCTGCCTCTGGTTCTTTTCCAGCCTTCCAGTGCTTGTGTCTGACCTCAGTTTGGCACAGCCAAGCCAGTCCACCCCCAGAGCACAGGGGAAAGCTTCTCCCTGTGCTAGTCCTAGAAAGACCCTGGCATCCCTCACTTTTTTAGGCTCCAGCTGAACAAACACAGGTGCGGCTCTTCACACCCGCCAGCTGCCCTGCTCTGGGGCATGAGCTCTCTCGCTGGCTCTAGGGCTTCATTTGCACAAGCTGCCTTTTTTATTCCCTCATCCCTAAGCCTCAGGCTGTGCCTGCTGCTCCAGGACTGGCATTGCTTGCACCTGAAGGTACTGGTGCTGCCTGACAGCCCAGGAGTTCCCCCTAATTTTTGTGCCCTATTTGCCTGCTCAGAGGGGATTCAGAAGCACAGAGGCGATGTCTGCACCCCCAAATCCTGCAGCAAAAGGCAGCAGCAGGCAGACACCGTGGCCAGACAGAGACTGATGTCCTAAGGCTTGTCAGGGCTCTGGGAAAAGAGGCAGGAGCTTGGAGCAGGGTGGCTTGTGTCGCCCCTGGGTACACCAGCTCATTGTGCTGCCTTCCCTCTTGACACTATCCAGCCTGCCCAGGAAAGCTTCCTGCAGCCTGGTTATCTCTGTCTCAGCCTCACCCAGGCCAGAATAAGCCCTAAGCACAGCAGCCCTGTACCCCTCAAAGTTCACATGTAGCCAGGGATGGGGCCAGCTGAATTTAGAGATCACAGCCCGTGCAAAACCCTGAATTCCCTCCTTCTGTCCTGCCCAATGCCCCCACAACAGCAAAGAGGACTGGTCACTGGTGGTATATTTATATATCAATACAAATAAAAACAAAACAACTCCCAAAAAAGTAACAACAACAAAAAGGTCTCTCTGAGAGCAAAATAGGAACATTTACAAATACTTCTGGCTCCGGCTTGGATCAAGTTAATGTTAAATACAAAAAAGCAAAAAAAAAAAAAAAAAACCAAAAAAACAAACACAAAAAAATTTCCCAAAAGAAAACAAAACAAAACCTCCCAAACCCTGTGCCCACCTCCCCCAAGATTATAAAAAAATAAGAATATACACATTCAAAGAGCTTATTACAGTATAAAGTTGGGGAGGCCCAGGCGGGGGCAGGGGCTGGGGCCGGGGCAGAGGCTCGCTGCCTCTCCAGGGTTTGGGGTTTACTCTTGCTCAGCGCTTTCCCAGCCCATGACTCAACGCAGGGCTGGGCCTGCGGGTTCCCAGTGGCAGCTTGGGAAAGCCGGGCAACCTGGAGAGCCGGTCGGTCCCCAGGGCCCCGTCACCTCGTACCTAGTGACTCCCTCAGCGGCACCCAAGGGGCAGGGGATGCCTGCCAGCTCAGCACCCCCCGGACAACCCAATCCTCCAGATCCTCCCAGGAGCACAGCTGCTACCTCTCCATGGGGAAGATGAGACAAAGAAACAGGGGGGACACCATCAAGTATCCTTGTGCCTCCTGCGGGATGGGCACAGGAGTGGGTACTGGGTCCCAACACTGCCCATGAAGGGAAATAAGGGGAAGGGGGAAGACAAGACAGAGCCAGGACCAAACTCACCGCTCCAGAGATCACAGCAGTGAGGGGGCAGGACAGCGGGGACCCTTGGGAGCTGCTAAAGGGGAGGTTGTATATATGTATCTATATAATAGGCAGGGGGTCACAGCGGGGGTATATTATATACACACATACATACAGACACACAGACAGAGCCTCAGGTGAGACCGAAGGACATGCCTCTTCCTCAGCCCCAGGACTGGGAATACATTTCCTCGGACTTTGCAAAGCCCCTCTCTAGGTACATCTTAGGTGGTCCCAACAACAACAACAAAAAAAAACGAAAACCAAAACAAAAAAACAACTTGAAGAGAAGACAAACCACCTCCCCAACCATCCAAACCCAACCGAAACACGACGGGGAGGAGTGAGAGCTCCTTCCCATGCCGGCAAGTGGCAGCCACCGTTTGGGTTGAATAAGGCACAGTTCTATAGCAGTGCTGACAGCTGAGGCGCTCCGGCACCGCCGCCCCCACGGCTCTGCTGAGTCCCGGCGGGCACCGAGGCGACACGGGCAGCCCCCGAGGGTGGGCAGCGGCGTCTGCAGGGAGGCAGAGGGTCTCAGTGCCCCGGCGAGCTCTTGTCCTGGGCGGCCCGGCTGTGGTTGGTGAGCAGCAGGCCCTCGCGCTGGCCGTGCTCGAGGATGGCGGTGTAGCAGAAGTAATACTGCTCGGGGGTCTGGATGCTGAAGGCGCGCTGGCTCCGCATGCGCAGCACTGTCTGGTAGATGTTCAGGGTGCCCACGTCCTGCAGCTGTGACAGGCAGATGTCCAGCGCGCAGAAGGTACCTAGGGATGGCGATGGGGATGGCATCAGACGCCAAATGGTGCCGTCACTGCCCCTTGTGAGAACTGGAGTGGTGGTGCTCAGCCCCACACGGATCTCCTACAGGCATCTGGGCACTTCCCCAGGTCTGATGCTTGTGGGAAGTCCTGAGGACATGGACTTGCAAACACACCGCGAGTCCCCAGGATGGAAATGCCCCAGGGAAGCTGGGCTTGTCACCCCATCATCCCCAAACCTCCCCCGCACCCATTACCTGTCCTGCCAATGCCAGCGCTGCAGTGCACCACGACTGGGGGTCCCCCAGGGTGACCCTTGAAGCGAGGTCCCAGGGCGCTGACAGCCACTCTCTGTTGCTGCTTCACAGCCCCCAGAAAGTCAATGAGAGTGGCGGCGGACGAGGGGACGCCATAATCTGGCCAGCTCAGGTACTGGAAGTGGGACACCAGCCGCCGCTCCCTGGTCTGGGGAAAGCAGGGGTTTAGACTTTCTTTCCTACTCTGCCCCTTGGTGCCCCCGTGCCATTCCCCCAGCAGGCAGCTGTGGCCACGCACCTCTGAGCTGTGGATCTCCAGGATGGTTTTCTTGTAATGGTTGAGGTTCTCTACACCCAGGTTGGTGATGGTCAGGGCCCCAAAGCACACCTGGAAATCCTTTTCCAGGGGCCAGTACTGGCCGCACTTCCTCCTGCCTCCCTCCTCCAGCCTGGGAGCACGACAATGACAAGCTGGTAATGTCCTCCTTGCCCTGCCTGAGATATCTCCCATGCCACCACCCTGCCTTGGTCCTTTGGGGATCTCATAGGGACCAAACAGTCTGTCCTTCACCCAGTGTCCCACCTCTACGGGCTCTGGCTGGCACCACTGCTGCTGGATCACTGCACCAAGCCCAGCACTGCTTTTGCCACACCAAAAATGCTCTTTTTGCACAGAAAAAGAGGACCGTGTCCCTCCATGAGCACTCACCGGGTTGTCATCACGATCACCAGGACGTTCTGCTCCCACACCATGCGCCAGAAGTCACCGTAGGTGTTTTCCAGAGGCCCTGCAGGGACAATCCGCACATCAGCCCAAAACCTCACGGATCTGGGCAACCCCCTGCCCAGCTGCATCCAGCAGCCCCCCCCCATCATCCCCACAAGGAACCACAGCCCCTTCCTGCAGGGGCTGACCCAGCTGTGGATCCACGAACACAGCCTGGAGCTGTCACTGCCTGCCACCCCCAGCACCGAGTCCCAATGGCTCAGCGCCGATCCCACCTCTCTGCTCAGCCTTGGGCAGATGGGGCAAATCCAGGACTGGGATAGGGGCAGGGAGAGGGAGAGGGCTGCTGTCATGGATGAAGATGGATCCCCTTGCTATCTCCCAGGAAAAACTTCAGTCCACTAGCTGGAAACTGAGATGGGAATAATAAATACAGCCAGGGAGGCGTAAATACACCCTGAGAGAAAGGGGACCGGCCGGGCAGCACCCAGCTCCTGAGGTGTCCCCCTTGGCCAGTGGCTGTCACTGGGCAGAGAGGTGGAACCCATGGGTGCATCAGGAGCAGAACAACCCCTTGTTGGCTCAGCCATACCCTGAGTGCCAATGTAAGCATTCCTCTGCTTGTAGCCATCCATGAAGCTCGCATTGATGTAGTCAGTCAGCTGCAGGGAGAAAAGCATGGTGAGATAAAGCCTCCAGAACCCTGGGACAGCTGTGCCAGCTTCCCACAGGACTGTGGGTTTCCCTCCTGGGCTGGCTCACCTCCGGGCGGCTGTATGGCTTTGCCAGCTTGACACGGGTTTGGTCCAGGCAGGGCACGTCCCCGTACCGGTTCTTGTCCTGGTTGTAGGGTGCCCTGGGAGGCGGGGGAGAGGGAAGCAGGGATGTATTCCAGGGAAGGCAAAGGCAGCATCCCTCCCTCTGTGCAAGCCTCTGGGGCCCGTAGCCTGGGCTCTGCTGCCATCACCTGGCCAAAGCCTCGGGAAGCAGAGTCCCGGCCAGATCCTGGTCCCTGCTGTCCTCTGCGGCTCCCCCTTATTCCCCGAGGCTGCAGGACCCACAAAAGGGGCTCACACCATCCCTAGGCCGGCGTTCTCTGTTGCTAACCCAAAGCACCACAGCATGAAGGGGCCGATGGACCCCCATCCAGCAGCAGAAGTGTGGGGTGAGGGGGAACCCAGCTTTTTGGGGTGAGAAGGGCACCTGGCTCCCTCCCACCAACTCACAAAGAGCAGACGAAGGTGCCGGCCGGGCTCCTGCGCCGAATGTCTTCGTACTCCTCATAGATGCCACGTTTCTGCTTGTGGCTGACATGATCCAGCAGCTCCTGGAGGGTGACGGACTTGGGCCCGGGGACATGGACAGAGCCGTTATCTTTGGGGGCCGCCAGCGGCACCAGGATGAGCTCGTCCAGGGGGTCGGGGTGCCCGTTCTGCTGGGGCAGGAACCGGCAATTCCAGCTCAGAGGGTCCAGCTTGAGGGACCCTCCGAGGTACTCAGGGAGGCATTCCCGGGGCAGGTGATCCTTCAGCTCTGACATCTTCACCATCTGCACCTGTGAGGGGAAGGGGAAAGGCAGGGGTGACTCCAAGAAGGTTGGAGAGGATTCGCCAGGGATGGGGACAGGGATGCCAAAGGTCTGGTGCTCGGCAACTTCCAGCAGATGGGGCTGAATGTCACTAACTGCTTCCACCACCCTGTCACAAAGGGAAAGCAGCCTCAGCCTGCCTGCTGAGGGTCCTGTGCCAGGACAGTCCCATGCCAGGAGGGTCCCCACTCACCCGCTCCCGCAGCTTCTCCTTCAGCAGCAGGCTGATGATGGAGTAGGGCACACGGAACCACATGGGTGCTCCCACGATGAAAACCTTCTTGAGCCGAGCTGGGAAGGCACCCTGTGAGTGTGAGGAGGGGGTCAGATCCACTGTGGCAGAGGACATATCCCAGCAGAGATGACAACCAGCACAGGGACCCCATGATGGCAACGCCACACCTGAAGTGTGCCTCGCATGCTCACAGCCGTGCTTGCTCTTATGAGTTGATAAGGAACCAAATTGCTTCCGTGGAATTAGGTAAGCAGAGGGTTTGGCTCTGCGGGGAGAAGTGAAGACTGGGAACCAGGATTATGCAAAGAACACACCCAGGCCAGTATTTACTCTTATTGCTTTTTTTTTTCCAGAGAAGGGAGGAGGCACCAAATGCCAGCACGATTAAAAAATAATTTGCATCTGTTTTCCCAAAAGCACTGCCAGCAGCTGTGAGAGGAATCCAGGCTGGGGACAGCTGATCCCTCCCGCCCGCGCCACACCGCAGCCACAGCCGGGTCCAGCCTGGCAAGCTCCCAGTGCCTTCCCGAGCTCCTGCGGGGCTGCAGCTGGTGCTCCTCGGCCCAGACGTGGTCAGCGTGGTCTGGGGTGCAAATTGATCCCAAAACCACAGGACCTTGGGTTCCTGGTGAGCGAGTGGCCCACACACTGTCCCCAGACACCAGTCAACCCCCAGGCACCACCTTGAGCAGATTGAGGATCTTCTTGCTGAGGTCCAGCTCGAAGTTGGTGTACTGTGACCCTGCCATGTCGTAGATGAACACCAGCCCATTCCTTTGTGTCTCAAAGCTGAGAGGAGGAAAAGAGCAACGTCAACCCCACAACATGCAACCACCTGGCTCCTGCATCAGCAGCTCTGCCCCATGCTGACCCCCAAAAATCCCTTCCCACGTTTCCAGAAGGACTCACAGACCCAAACTTTGCTTCTGCACTTCCCAGCTGCTCCACTATCTCTTCCTCCAGCCCTCATTTAAGCCTGACTCGTGCCTTAAGGTTGCCTCAGCAGCATCACCCATGATGGGTAAGTGAATCTCAAGGAGCAGTGAAGCTGTGGGCACTGACAGAGCTAACGAAGCCACTGGTAGGGTCAAAAACAGAAAGAGCCCAGCAGGATAAATGGCAGGAGAATGTCCTGTCCTGGGTTTATATTTTTGGCAGGGCTCACGTTACGTCTGCCTGATGGTGGGGCTGCCTCCTCCCCAGCCAGAGCCTGCCGGAATCTGGGACTTTGCTAAACTGAACCCAGGGCGTGGACAGGGCAAGGCTGCAAAGAGCCTGGTTCAGACCTTGGGAGATTTTGTTCCCCTGCTGAACAACTCCATAAGGAGGACTGGCTGGCATTCAAACCAGGGAATTTCAAGCCATGGGGAGCACTGATCCCCCTGGGAGGGAATGTGCTCCCCAGGGACCTTCCAGTGTGAGACAGGGTGTCCCTGCAGAGGCAGGCTCACCTCTCCACAGCTCGGTCCAGCAGGTAGAAGAGCGCCTGGAGCACCACGTGCTGCACGCTCTTGCTGGGGTGGTGCAGCTTGGCTGTGAACAGGGCGATGGAGGCTCCCGAGGGGTCCCGCACGCTCTGCCGAGGAAACGGGGTCAGGCTCCCACAGCACCCCCGAGGAGCAGAGCTGGGATAAGCCACCCAGCTGGGATAACTCCCTGGGGAGCTCACCCCACCTACCAGAATGGTGAACTTCCCACTGAGCAGCTCCGAGCGCAGCGGCTCCTCGTGCGGCTTCAGCTTCACAATCCCCTCCTTCAGCCGTGTCTCCTGCGGGCAGGGAGGGCAGTCACAGGGGGCACAGGGGGCACAGGGGGCACAGGCACGACCCACCTCTGCCCCAGAGAGCACCCAGCTGTCCAAGGGAACCTCTGCTCTGCTCCATGGGATCATTTTCCAGCACACCCCCCAGTAACAGAAGGAGCAGCTTTGCAACACCAGGTTGGAAAAGGCATGCATGGATCTATATCCTCAATATATAGGGAAATGCTCTGTGGGCAGCACACCCCAGCCAGGAGGGCACCCCATGAGCTGCTCCCAGAGGAGGGGAAGGGATTGGCATCGGTGAGATCTCCATGGCAACCCGCCTGGGCTGAAAAAGGATTTTCCAGCTGGATAAAACTTGTAAGGGAGAGAGAAAAAGAAAAAGGAGCAGGGGGAGGGTGGTCCTGGGGAGCAGGGATCTCCTGCAGAGCAGGAAGCCCTCAGATGGGGGGCTCCGGCCCCTCTCGCTTACCCGGTAGGAGTGGAAGAGCTCGATGGCCCGCAGGACGTCAAACTTGCGGGCCATGAGGAACTTGACAGCCACATTCCAGGAGAGCGGGGACACATTGTACTGGCCTGTCCACTTGTTGATCTCCTCCAGAAACTGCTTGGTGGCCTGTGGGAGAGATCAGGGGTGAGTGGTGAGACAGGGTGAGAGGAAGAGGAGGAGGAGAAGGAGGGGTGCCTAAGGAGCATCCCTGGCCATTGTTGGAGGTACAATCCTCAACAGACCCAGCAGCTTCTAGGGTGAAGCAGGGAGCTTCAGAACAAAAGGGGTAAGGGCAGTGGTGGAAAGGGAGCAAGGGATGGGAAAAATGGCCTTGCAAAAAAGGCTGACTGATACTTATGTAAAGGAGAGGGGGAGCAAAAGGAGGATTTTACAGGCAACAAACTCCCATTCAGACACTGCTTCCCCAGCACGGTCCCATCAGCTGGCAGTGGCCTCCTGGGGCTGCAGCTCCACCACGGAGCAGTGAACTTGGCTGTAGGAACACAGGCAGTGAACGTGGAGGGCTGACACTTTGACCTGCTATAGGACACGGACCAGCGTGCCCAGTAACACCAGTTTCACACATACATGGAACACCAGGAGGGTCCCAGGACACAGCTTTGCCTTCTGCTGCAGATTGATTCCCTGTCCCACACAGGAGCCCCAGGGGAGACAGGGCAGCGCAGCCTAGTCTTCCACTGCATCCTGCTCAAAGGATGCAGGCAGCATGGAGGGACACACCAAAATGCCTTGCTCCCAGCCAGGCATACGCCAAAATAAAACAGCTTCCAGCTCCCCAGAGCAGAGGATGGTGATGGAGAGTGGAGGAGGGAGGGGAGTGCTGAAGGCTGGCTCCCAGAGGCAGGCAGGCGGCGGTGTAGGATGTCAGGCACAAAGTTACCGGGAACTATTCAGAGTTACTGGGAGCTATTGAGCCAGAAAAGCTTGTCGGTGTTAATGACTTCCGACAGGAGGAAGCGAAGGGCCGGGGTTTATCGGCGGCGTGAGGCTCGGCAGGGACAGCGAGCCCCTCTCATGGGATGAGCCAAAGGAGCCCAGCTCATCCCAGGGGTGTGTCTCCCAGCACTCTGCAGCCAGGAGCTCCCTAACTTGGTCCCAGAGTCGCACAAAGCAGCCAGGCAAGCACCACAGGAAAATAAATGGGGCAATACAGGAACCATCTTCAGCCTTAACACAGCACGCATCCACACATCCAGGAATATCTTCTATCTGTAAAGATATCCTACCCAGTACATCCTGGGCACACCTCCACTTTGCCACAGCATCCCCCGAGGCACCCAGATACTCAAAATCCATGGCTGCAGATCCAAACCCAAAATAACAGCGAAGATGATCCTTCCCCAGCATGTGCAGGACGGTCAAGGTATGGGAGTGAGAGCCAGGCACAACTCCCACTTCCCTTGGACAAAGACCAGAGCTGACACCGCAGCCAGAGATGGCAATGATTCCCCAAGATGATAAGAGGGGTCCAAAGGGCACGATGGCAATGAGGGGAGGATGCAACCTGCAGTTCATGTCTGCTTCCTCAACACCTAACCCGTCACACTTCACACAATCCCATTTCCAGCAGCCATCACGAGGCATGACGGGCTTTCTGCAAGGGGAAGGCACACAAGAACAAGCGCTATCTTTGCAGGACACTTCAGCCATGAATTCCAGCTTTCCCTGGGAACAAAACCAAATTCCAAACTTACCAATGCCACCATTCAACAGCAGGGAGCCAGCATTACAGAGCTGAGCATCAATGCCAGCCATAGTTCTGCCCCCTTTGTGCGCTCCACTGGGTCTCATCATCATTCCCAGCCCGCTCCCAAATGATTTATACACGTCAATCCCAGCGGAGCAGGGATCGCTCCATGTGCCGAAAACAAAGCCTGCGACCCAGAGCTGCAGCAAGAAGTTCTGTTTCGGCAGCACTGGGAGTGAAATTGTCCGTGGCCGGGCGTTTGGAACAATGATGGTCTTTGGAGTGCTGGCGTCATCCACGTCCCCGCTGCGCTGGAGCAGGGTGGTGACAAAGCCACTGCTGCCGGAATCCAGGGGTTCTTCCAGCCCTCTCCCCCAGGCAGCAAACCATCCCTCCTTCTTCAGCGTAGGGAAGTGGGGGATAAATCTGTGAAAACGGCAGCTGAGCTGAAAACCTTCAAGGAAATTTGGTTTGGCTCCTTGAAGATAGACTAGGGAGCGAGTAGGAGAGATGTCCCAAGGCTGGCCGAAGAGGAGAAGGGTGAATTTCCCCCTGGCTTGCTGTTGGTAACGGGGGAGAGTAGAGAAAATCTTGATAGTCCCAAGAAAGATGGCAGGAAGGGCATGTTCCAGCACAAATCACCACTTACCCACAAAGAGAAAGAAACTTCCACTATTTTGGTTTCCAAGCCACAGAGAGCAGCACAAAAGGCAGCCTTCCCCACACCAAGCTGATGACCCAAAACTGGAGCCATTATTGCAATAATACTTCATTATAGGTGAAGATCTCTTCACCTTCTCCAGCCAATATTCCCAAACAAACCAAACATCTCAGATCCCTCTCCTGGGATGCTGCTCCCACTGCAAACCAGCCTTTCCTGCCACCACAGGGTCTCCAAAACCCCTATTTCAGGAAGCTCTGCCCCCTCCATGACACAGGAGAAATGCAAACCTCAGGAACCTGTGGGTACAGAGGGCAAGGACACTCCCCATTCCTTGGGATTTTATCGCCCCGGAGACAGCAGTGCTGCTCCCAGGAGGAAAAAGCCTGGTAGCTCTGCATTTGCTGAGCACCAGCGCAGGCTGCAGGAGGGGCTCTTCCATGGAGGCTTTCGGCATCTCCGTCCCGGCCCTCCTAAACCTCCCTGCAGAAACGAAGGCTTTTTAAAAGAGAAAACCAACCCGCCAACCAACTGGAAAACCGACCATTTTGGAAGGAAAACAGGACCTTTTTGCCTTCGCTCTGCAGTCCCCAGCGCCACCAACGTGGCCAAAGTGACAGCCCGAGGGGACAGAGGGATCCCAGCTCGCCCAGTCCCGCTCCCAGGCTCCACATCCCCATCCAGAGGGCAGCCCAGCCTGGGGAAGAGGACAAAGGAGGGGACAGGCAGGGATTGCTCCGGCCACCCGAGGCACCCCGGCCGGCTCCAGGGCCCCGTTCCCCGAGCCCAGCAACATCCTCCCGCGGTGACGCAAGGCCGGCGGAGGAAGCCGGGACGTCACGGGAGGCCTGGGGCGTGGGAAGCGCGTGTACACGCATCCATCCCCACGCATCCGTCCCCACGCATCCATCCCCACGCCACTGCCCACGGCAGGGGGGCTGCCAGCGGGGCCACGCTGCTCCGGGGACGCGGGACCCACGCCCCGGCACCCACGGCAGGGGCCTTGCGAGGGTTCCTGGGGAAGGGGAAGGTTGTGGGGGTTGCGTGGATGGGGGTTGTAGGGTGGGTGCTGCGTGGGTTGGGAGGCTGCGGGTTTGGCGGCTGCATGGGTGGGGGGGCTGCGTGGGGGTGGGGGGGCTTCCCATGGGGAGAATCGCCTCGCTGGGAAAAAACCAGCCTGGCAACCCGGGCTAGCCAAATAACGATGGGAAAGGAGCGGTGCGGGAAGGAACCCGCGGGGTCCTGCCCAGCCCGACCCGGGAAAGAGGAGCCCGGCCGGGACCTACCTGCTCCTCCTCGGCGCTGAGCTCCGCGGCCATGCTGCGCGCCGGGGCGGGCCGAGCCGGGCCGAGCCGAGCCGAGCCGGGCTGCTCTAGGCGGAGGACGCCCCGGCGGAGCCCATCCCCGGCGCTGCGGGCACCGGCCCCTCCCGGCGGCGAGGGCGGCTCCGCCCCGGGGGCCTCGCCGAAAGTGCCGAGAAAATTCAAATCAAATGGAAAAAAAAAATTATAAAAATTAAATATCTATGTATGGCGTGCGTGTGTTTGTGTGAGCCCTCCGGGAAGTTTGGCTCGGCCCGGGAGCGCCGCTCGGCTGGGCCGGGCCGAGCCCAGCTCCCGCCCCGCTCCGCTCTGCCCCGGCGGGGGCGGCGGCAGGAAGCGCCCGCAGCCCCCGGTCCCTCCTCCCCGTGCCCGTCCCCTCCCCGAGCCGACCCCGCGGGGCGGGCGGGGGACAGGAAGCGTCCCCGGCGGGGGGGGAGCGGGGGACAGCGGCCGGGATGGGGCCGGAGGGGCCCGGTCCCCCCGCGGCTCCGCGGTGCTCCCCCAGCCCCGGTTCCGGCCGCGGCAGGCGGGAGCGCCGCCGCTAAAATGGTGGCAGCATCCTCCTCCCTTTGCTGGTGCTGGATAAAATTCCCGGCAGCCGCATCCTCCCTTGCTGTTACTGGATAAAATTCCCGGCACAGCATTCTCCCCTGCCGGCATTCCAGCCGCGCAGCCTTCCCCCCGCGAGCAGGAGTCCGGGGTTTCCAGGCGTCTCTTTCCACTCCCTCCTCTACGATCCCTAAATTGCATTTCCCAGCCGAGCGCAGGTGTCAGCGCCTGGATGGAGAGTCCCGAAGCTCCTCCGGGAAGGATCGGGGATCCCGGGAAGCACAGCAGCGGTCGCTCCAAAAAGCCAGGCCCTGGGACAAGGGGACATTTTGTTCAGCCGAGGAGCACTGTGCTGGCAGCGTGCCTACAGCCGGAGCCTGTGCACCTAACTGGGAGAAAATGGAAGTAGGGCAGAGGGAAGGGGCTGAGAGCCCCGGCTGGATGAGGGCTCCGGGCTGGCTCTGTCCCCCAGCACCCCAGGCCACGTCTCCAGGTCGAGCTGCCCGCTCAGCTCTCCTGCCCCAGGCCAAATTTCAGCCCCCGGTGGGGTGACCCCTCCAGTGGAGCTACTGCCTGTTCCAGCTGGGAGTGAGATCGCGCCCAGCAAACAGAATAATCACGGCACCAAACTGTGCTGGCCCCTGCGACTTACGTTTGACACCCTCCCTCCAGAAACAGCCTTTCGTTCCCAACAGGAATTGTAACGCAAATATTTATTTCTCCAGCCCAGCTCATGCTTTTAAAAGGGAAACTATGAGGCATCATCTGGAGCCGGCGGGAAGCTACAGTCGCTTCCCTCTTGCTCTCCTCCATCAGCGCACACAGCCCCTCTTCGGCTCTGTTTCCTCTCCTTCCCTCGCCGGAGACCTTGGAAGGCTGCTGGAGGGCAGTAACCTGAGCTGCAGCTTTCTCTGCCCTAAGGGATGCACAAATCTTCCATCCAGATGCCCACCTCCGGGTTTAATTGCCTGATGGAAGGAAAACTGTGCTGACAGAAGGCTGGATGCGGTATCCCGCTCAGCGCTCTCCCTGCAGACATCTGCCAACCAGGGAGAACCGGGGAGAACCAGGGAGAAGGTGGGAACCTTCATGGGACAGGGAGGTTAAGGCAGTCCAGGTGCTCATCCTCTTTCCCTGGGCCAGTTGCTTCACATGTTAAAAAAATAACACTGAAACCAGAAACTTAAGCAGCTGTTTGAAAGCGACGGCTCCGAACACTGCGGGGCCAGGGTGCCACTTCCCTGCTGGGGAAGGGGAGCGGAGGGCAGCCCCCTCCCACAGCCGGGCCAGTTCCTGCTGCCCGCTGCTATCATCAATAGCGGCTGCACGGCCAGATGGTCGCACACAGCCCACACGCTTGGCACGGAAATCAGGCTTTTTCTGGGAAAAACGGGGGGTGCGAGGGCAGGATACAGCGCCCGCTATCTGCAGGTGGCCATCCCCACTCTCGCTATTTCCCCCAAGGGAATTTCCATAGAGAACTGGGAGGAGAGTCCCCAGCGCTGCCTTGAGCTTGATATTTCATCTCCCTCCTTTTCATCCCTCTCTGGAAATCAACCTGGGGACAGTGGAAATGATCATTTCATTCCCCCAAAACAAGGGAGGGGATGCAGCCAGTGCTTAAAAGGTAGGATTGGGCTGGGATGAGAAAGACAGGACAAGAGACTGAAGCACCTCGATGTGCAGAGAATTAAACCCACACCAGCGTTTCCTCTGCTCCAGTCAGCACTGGAACCAATTTTTCAATCCCTATTTGGGAGGCACAGCACGCATCCACCCTTAGGTAGCAGGAAGACGCTCAAGAATTTGTCTTTCTGAGAAACCTTTTATTTGGCACGATCAATGGTAGCGTTTTTCAGAGAACCCATTCCTTCCTCCCCCCACTGAGAAAAGCCTCGAGGAGAGAGAGGCTTCTGCCGAGCTCGCGCCGCACAAAGCCTGCTCCGAGGCAGGTCCTGCTGCAACGCAGGGAAATTCAGATTTCCCCAAGAACGCGTGGGTGTGGAAAGTCCAGCCTTTGGATTTAAACAGCTCGCTGCAAACTTTTTGTTAGTAACAACTTTCATTGGAAAGGCCTCAGAAAACAGCTGGATCAAAGGCTGAGAAGCCCCGATTTCCAGGGCTGGGAAGGTGGGGCTGCTGCAAGGGTCACAAGCAGCAGCTGCACCTCAGAGGTCCAAGCACTGTTCCTATGCTGAAGTTTTGCCAAGACTCTTAACAGAAGCAGGGTCAGGAGCTAAACTGTATCCCTGCACTATGGGGACAGATAATTTCCCAGCACATGACTGCTTTAGCGAAGAACCAGACAATGCCGTTAAGGCCTCACAGAAATCCTGGCAAAGAGTATGCAGTAACAACAAATACAAAAAATCCAGCAGCACCTGGGGCAAGATATTCCACTATCATGCCCTTTAAACACAGCCATCCTATCATCATTACTCTGCCCCCTCTCAGGAGCACGGTGAGAAGCAGGGAGCCTTTTCCCTGCTCTCTGCCCTGCTGGCCTCTCCCAGCAGCTTAACTCTCCATCTGGCTCACTGCTCCATCCCGGCCCTCCGGAGACTTTTCTGGCTGAGGGGTGGACAAGTGTTCCAGCTCGTAGTGTCCGTTCCTGGCGGCCGCCTGGCCGCCGGGGTGGCCCTTTTCCGCCGCCAGCTTTTTACTCCTCTTGCTCTCGATGATCTGCTGGAGCTGCTGCCCGGCGTAGTCGGGCTTGGCCGTGAGCACGGTGGCGGGCACGGCGAGCCCCAGGATCTCGGGGACCATGTAGGGCCGGAGCCAGCCCACCAGCGGGGTGCTGCCGGGGGTGTAGTGGGTCTGCTTGTGGTAGAAGAGCAGCCCGTCGACCTGCGGGCAGGAGAGAGAATGAATGAAAGGGCAGAGCTGAGGCTCCTGCAGGTGAATGACCAGGCACCAGACAACGGCTCTGTTCTCTGTTTGCAAGCCAAAACCACCAGCTGGATCATTTTTCCTCAAGCAGTGCAATAAATAGCGGAAGGGAAAGGAGAAACCTGCAGAGCTGCTGCCCTGAAAGATCAGCGACTCCCAGATGGCTTTAAATTGTCAAAGGCAAATGAGTCCAGCTTGGTGTCGGCACAGAGCAATGTCCTCTGGATGCTTTCATCCCATTCTGCAGAAAAGCCAAAGAGTTTCTGAATAAGGCAGCCCACTTTACTGGATTAGGGTTATTTTAAATAATACATTTGGAAAGTAATTAGCCCAAGTGTGTGACGCCAAGGAGCCCCGATTCCTAACAGCTCTTTCAGTTGGCTTATGCCAAAAAAATTCTTAATGTTTCCCAGGAGAGAACTTCTCCTAGCAATCAGTGACAGTTAAGGGCACTCAGGACTTTAAAGGTTTAGGCCCTAACTCTTGTGCTGCTATTTCCACACTCTGCAGTGCTGCAGCTGGCTGACGTTTTCCCCACTTCCCCACCGTGCTCAGGGATTCTCATCCCCCCTCTTCCCACGCTTCCCAGGGGTGTGCTCTGCGAGGTTGGATGCTGCTGTCAGGCTGACTAATGCAGGAGGTGGTGCTCCTCTTAGCTCAGCTTCACAAGCTCTTAAAAGGCCATTTGGCTACGAGGAAGAGTGGCTGAGTGGGCAGAAGAGAGGAGAACAAGAGCCCACCTCAGGATGAACTGGTCCCAGTGCCCTCCCTGATCCTACAGCCTCCAGAACAGAAACACTGGCTGAGCACAAAGCAGCATATATCCACTTCTGCTCCACAGATGCTAACCTCTGGCAGACAGGGTAAAGCTTCTAGCACTATTCTGTCCATAATTTTCAGTCACTGTTAACATCTTGCAAAATAATCCCAGAAAAAGAGGGATTTTTGTGCTAGGAAAACATAAAACCAGAACAGTAAACATCATGATGAGCTTGTGCAACCCCTCTGGATATATAAAGTGAAAAGCTTTTCCCCCACGCTGCCTCCTGGGAAGAATCAGATTCTGCAGCACTCCAGTACATCCAGCCCATTCCTGTGGGTGCATGGCACCTGATGAGCAACGGGGATTCTCCAGCACCCACAGGAATGTTTTGGTAAAGATCAGAGCCTGGAAGGCCTTTCAAATCACTCCAAATACCTTCCCCAAGCTGGAGAATTCAAAGGAGTTCAGCCTAGTGGAATGAGGTCATGTTCCCCATTCCCCAGTTTAAGTGACTCCTATACTCCTTCCCGTTATTTAATTTGTTGGCCAGGTCCCTACCCTGAGTCACCACAGTGCCAGTGGCCACATCAGAACGAGGACTGTCACTGTCCCTGAAGGCCCAAACCTGAGGAGAGACTGGCCTGGCAGGATTTAACATTCCACAGCCATGCTTTCCAGATTTTAAGTGCTAAACAGTCCTCCCATTCCTAAACATCAGGGTTTTTCAGAGGCTTTGGCTCCCCTGCCTTCAGGGAAAGCATGGTTTTACTCAGATCTGTGAGAGGGACAGTAGCTCTTAAGATCCACTTCAAAAACCACTTGAAATTCAGAGCCAGTCAACTGATCCAAAGTCTACTGAATTCTGGGGAATAAGAGTCCACTGAATAGAGTGGATCAGGCCCTAGCTCTGAGGTTACAGACTAACTCTGAAGAAGACCCAGGTCTGAAAGCACTGACCTCCTCTGTGGCCACTACACACACAAGATCCCTGTCAGCATCAAAAGATGCTGGGTCCAGACCTAACTAAGAGCACCTCTGTTACCCTCCACCCATGTAGTCAGGATGTATTTCGCCTCCTGAAAAGTTTATTCTGCTCTGTGCCCGTGGAGAAGGTGTTTTTGGGGATTTTTGGGCTCCCTCTTGTGGCACATCACAGAGACCCACAGCTCCCTTCTTCCATGAAGAAGCACCAGGGGTGGTGTTGGGGCAGCTTTGAGCCAACATACACCACGTTTTGCTACTTGGGGTCACACCCTGATACAGCAGAGGGCCTGGCGGGGCAGATCACAGCTGGATTACACAGCTGGAGTCTGTTCAGCTCCATCTCCTGCTCCAGAAGTTTGCTGCTCTGCCTGCAGCGGGCAAACGCTCCTCAGCCGCTCCTCACGGGAGCAGATGCCTCAGGAAGGAATGGAGACTTTACTCAGGAAAGCCAGGAATGACTGTTTCTAAGGAGGCATTTGGAGCATTTATTATTGAGCAAGCCAGCTGTAAGAAAGCTGGGAAGCCTCTTCAATCCATGTTCAGAGCAGGGTCTGGCAAGACCAGCGAGGGATTGGGACTTTCCAACTTGCTGTGATGACTGTCCTGGCTTTCACAAGCAGAAAGCAAAGTCAGCCCTCACAGCCAAATTAGTGCCCATAACTTAAACCTACAACTATTTTAATGGCTAACTCAGTGTCTCTTATGCTCTCCCATCCTGTCACACCAACGTGGCTTTGGCTTTGTGGGACAAGAAATCTCTGT